CTGGTGAAATGGCTTGCAGTTGTGGACGATCTCCTCTGCATAGGCTTGTGTAATGACGTGAAACATCCAAACTCGGCTGGTTTGGCTGTGGATCCTCCAGTCTGCTTTCTAGGCCAAAATGCTCCTTGTTTAGCGTGATCACCCATTTCGAAACGCCTCTTACTAGCGTAGCTGTTTTTATCGTGATTGAAACTGTTCGGAGACGGGAGGCTCCACCCAAATGGCGTGAATCTCAAAATTTCTCTGGCCGACCTTCGGTTGCTTTCGGCCAATCGCGTGGATGAAAATTTTTTACCGCGCATTTTCATCAGTTTCTTGGTGGAGCTGGAAAAGTCAAAGTTTTCAAGAGCAAGACTTTTGTTGGACGTATATGTTTTGTTTGCCCATTGATCAGACTCGATATCGCTGGGTCTTTTTGAGATGTTTCGATTTTTAGCAATGCAATTCGAGTAATCATTCTCTGAGATTCGATAGGAAAGTTCCCCGCTGGGAACAATTGAATTGATTTTTGAATCTAAATTACTTTTACTTTTTTGGAAAATAATACTAGCGCTGTTAGGGTTTGACTGCTGTAAAATTTTAACATTTTTATCTTCGAAACATTTATCATCCATTTTTGTTGCGGTACCGGTTGGAACATTCGTGTTCGATGGGTCTAACTGGACTGGAAATGGATCAGTACCTGTGTCCGTTTTGCTAAGGTTTTGATGCTTAGTTCCTTGAGATTCCAATCCATTGATTGGATTCATTTTTGAAGATGATGACTGGACTGGTAGCGGGTCAGTACCTACGTCCGTTTTTTCTGTTTGTTGTTTCAATCCTCGAGAGTCGGAACCATCAGGTATATTTATTTTTGAAAGCGCTGATTGGACTGAAAGAAGGCGCTCGTCTTTTTTTCCGTAAGTTATATGTTGTAATCTTTGAAATTCTGATTTATTTAATAAATCTGTTTTCGAGAATGATGAACTACTACTTTGGGGTAGAATATCAACAAAATTTTGCAAGGGTTCGGATAGAACACTCAGTGAGTCAAGGGAATTTTCAAACGCTAAAGTTTTACCAGTCGGCACCGTCAGTTTATCACATCCGCTTTTAACTTGGGGTTTCACACATTTAAAGGCTCTTTCTTCGTTTATTTCGCAATTATTTACAATATTTCTTTGAGCTGAATGGGTCGATAAAAGCAATTGTCCATTCAAATTTTTTAATTCAAAGGATACAGATTTTTTTGAATCGCATGCTATGTCATTCCGAGGCAATACATTTTCCCCACTTCCATTACACGCGTTCTGTGACCCATGGGCGTCTTTATGACCATCAAACGCTAGAGTTGTAGAACCAGCAAGTATGCCACGAGTTATAGGTATCTCGTTATGGACCGAATTAGTTTTAGTAAAATCAGGATATAAGGAAAACATATCGTAATTTGAACCTCTGACAGAATTTTCTAAACCGACACTATCATCTGATAAGCTACATCTAGTGGAGCGGCGACGTGCCGGTTTAACGATTGGCAATATGTGTTTTGATTCATTGAATGCTACCATGGTCGATGCTTTGAATGCTTCACCCAATTTTGCACTCTCAAAGACAGCACGTTTTTTATCTTTCTTTTTGAATTTTGGATTGGAGGAATTTTTCTGAGTTATTTTCCTACGATTCGACTCAATTTTTTTCTGTGGTTGTTTCGCTTGGTCTTTTTTGGACTCTCGACTTGACTGCACCGTAAGTTTTAGCTCGTTTTGGGTCTTTATCTTTGGAATAATCACAGTGCCGTTCCTCAGGGGTTTTTTCATCTCCCTCGACTGAGTTTTCATTTCGTTCTGAGTCCTACTTTTAGGGTTCATCCGAGTTGTTTCAATGTCCGGAGAACTGCCGAGGCGTTTTTTCACCTGATCCCTTTGAAACTTAGTTCGCATTCCGTTTTGAGACCTGATCTTAGGGTGTATAGTCACAGTTGGAATGTATGTAGCGTTGCTAAAGCGTTTCTCGGAAATAGCGTTCCTAAATTCACCATTTAGAGAGTTATTTGTTTGAAATTTCAGACCACTTCCAGGTCTTTGCTCAACAGTATCAGCATATTCAGAGTCTGTTGAGCTCGTTCCAGCGTAATCAGTGGCACTTTGTGACTCCTCCGTTTCATCACAAGAGTCAAATGTATCGGAGGTTTGGACAATCCGAGATTGAGGCTTCCGGGTTTTGATGTCTTTGCGATCTCTCTTCAAAGCTTTAATAGTGTTTCGCTGCCAACTTTGAACCATCTGCCGCGACAACCGCTGGCGTGATTCATATGAGTTTTCGCTTAAATTCGATGATGTTGACGAATCAGTGTATCTAAGGCTGGTCAGGGTGCTTCCAATATTTTGTAAAACATATGAAACATTGCTCTCACTTAGTCGAATGTCATTGTCAGAAGTATCACTGTCATACACATTCTCAGTAGCTCCTTTGGTGCAGTTACTAAAATTTGGATGCGTCTTACCTGACCCACTGTCGTGATTAGTCAATGTCTCTTGCTTAGTTCTTCTACAACACCAGCATCTTAAATGAAGTGGAAAACTCTCATTTGAATAATTATTTCTGGTATGTATCATCAAGGAATCATTTTGATTTTTCCAAGGGCTTGATTGATTGTTGTTGGATCTTCTATTTACCATCCTGTAACTTGCCATCTGAAAACCACCAAGTCCGCAGGAGCAAAACTAGCAGTGATGTGAGTAGAAAATAACTGGAGAAGCGTTTTGTCTTCATACTTTAAATTGGCTTCGTGAGTTATAGTCTGAAACAGTTCAGTTGCTTTGTCACTCATAAGAGGAGATTCATGGCTCTTAACCTGAAAAAGCTGACATATGTTTTTCAGAGTTTGTCATAATCTGCTCTGATTCCATTTAGCACATCTAGTGCTTTGTTTAGTTTCATGAGGTATTTTGCCTTCGTAAGCATCTTCAACCTCTCATACCAATGAAAAGTTGGTTGTCTTCTTTATTTTGATATTTTTAAAAAAGTCCCAAATACTTTGAAATTTGTTTGCAACAATTGAAGAAGACGTGCTACGTAAATAATCACCTTATGCAATACTTATAGCACAAAAAACACTTCCGCTACCTGAATTGTTCAAAACGATCGGTCATTGCCTGATGAGTTTATAGGTAATTTCATCCTCAGCGCTGTAAAAAATGAATTTTCTTCGGACCTACGGCTTTCGGATAACTTTTGATCCATGCACCTCTCCAAAAACTCATCTCCACATTAACAATTCAGACTTAAAATTCCCGCAAGAAAATTCCTAATTGTTTTTAGTTTTAGGTATTTTATTGCTATTCATAAATTGTGAGCATTCGTTCCTAGAATTTGCTCTAAATTCCTTACCACATAAGAGTTCAAAGATAATTTTAATGATTTTTCTTTTAATTTTTCCAATTTCGCAGAATAAAATTTTCGAGTGCAGCAGAGCTACATATTTTTTGCGGAAGTAAGAAGTGCTGAGATAAACAGCTGTAAATGCACGTAAATAACAGGGTAGTCGTGAAAATTGATTTTAAAGAAATCCATTCCGACCCAACTACTCTTGTAGCCCTAAGCTCTATCATTGATCTCTCTTAGATTACAGTCATAAATTGAATTTTTTTTACGCTTCTCTCTCTTGCAATGGGATAATCTTCCTGTAAAATTTTCAATTCGCTTTCTCAACCTAAATAAATTTATTCGTTTTGAAATACAGCCAGCCCTTGCCATGACGACTTATAATGTGAAGGATTCATGTTGTGGTACGGATGGCACATCAGTTTGCAAATTCCAGGAAATAAATTAAAGAAAAGTCACGCATAATATTTAAAAAGTAGGCACTTTCTTACGGGTCATCTTTCTTCACACGTATTTTAACCCCTTCATTTCTGCCACTTGATGAGAATTCGTCTGCGCACACAAAATTGAAACCACTTCAGATATAATTAATTGAAAATAAATTTCATAATTTCAATTACACTGAGTCAAATAGCATTCATGACGCCTGCATTTTACATAGCTTCAAAACGGTTTGCTGGTTGTGAACATTGCCACATTGATGAAATAATCTTAAGAGTCTACAAATTAAACCATTATTTGCAGAAATAAATGTTTAAAACGGGAAATTAACCCAAAATTGTAACATCCGATAATGAATTGTATATCGACGGTGAAACTACCAAACCACGTATCTCGGTTTGCGACGTCGCAGACTTCCTGTCATACTTTATTTTTTAAATGAAAAACTACTGAACGTCCAGTCTTGAAAATTTCTGTGATTTTTCCTCTTCGTGCGGAGAAAATTCTGTAAAAATTTCAAGGAATGATATTGATTTGGTCTACTTCAAAATAATAAAATGCGAGCGTAGATTTTTAAACACCGCAAACGAGATACGTGGTTTGGTAGTTTCACCGTCGATATCCACTCAAACACTGATGGGATTAAGTTCAGAGAATTTTCAAGGTTTGAATTCTGTCATAATAGAAGTTGCATCAAAAATTCAGAAATGAATGCTATTGCCTAAGCCAGGTCGTAACATTCCTCTCGGTGCAATTTTCTGAAGAGCTGTCAGTCCCCCTTCCCCCTGTACTTAATTATTTTCATAATAGATTTTGCTCTCAAAGTATGCTTCGTGTGCAACTGACCATCTTTCCTATGACAGTATTTTTAAATTACAAGTAGGCTTTGCGAGCTGCTGCAATCAAATTGTCCGATTACTTGTCCTCGTCACTATCAAAGCTAGGGACACTGCAACCTGATCTTCGATCGAAGTTTTTCAGCTCTAACCACGGATAAAGAAAATCGCCTTCAATCGCCCTAGTCCGCAATATCACTTACATTTGCGCACATGTGTTCATAATTGTCACCGAGAATATGCCACTGACAAGCGGAAACTAAGTGCATTCCTTGAAAAATATCTGCGGGGCTTAAAGACGTGTTTATAAGGGCTCTAAATTTTGAAACTTTATTTATAATCAGAAAATATAACAAAGTGAACCGTTGAAAAAATATATTTGTAAAGACAAAACGTTAAATTTAAAGACCGCGACTTAGTTAAAACACCTTTTAAGTTTCCAAAAAAGATCAACATAATAGAAACGGAGAAGTGGTGACACATCAAATGAGGGAGTAAAACATGTAAAAAAAACATGGAAATTTCAATCAAGACTCAGAAAGACATAAGACAACACTTGGAGAGGAATACAAAAATAAATAGATAGAAAACAGGAAACCAGTGACCACATTGCTAAATTTTGATTGATAATATAAAGGAACAGCTTACACCAAAGTCTAAGAAATTTGCAACAGGCACGACACACTCCTTTTGTACAGGTAACCCGATTCAAAGAGTATATTACTTGTGAAATATACATATTAATATCATTAAGAGAGAAGGCGGCCTACAGTTGAACTCAAGCCAAAACTGTCACTGGAGGATTGTTTCATCATAAGGTCTTGTTTGGGACAGAAATGAAAGAAGTCTCTGCGGGCACATGCCCTTTTTTAACAAGCTCTTTGTCTTCAACCTAGGTAAAATTTTTGGGGGTGTAAACTTTAAAGAGAAATGCCTTTCATTCATTTCTTTTTCTGAAATCAAGTTCTACTTTATTTTTTTAAAAAAAAAATTAAAGTTTGCTGTAGATGACAAGCGAAGTTTTCGAATAAATGATAAGGAAAAAATTTACTAAAAATAATTACCAACAAATATCCTTAAACAGAAGACACATTTTGGAACGAAAATCGTTTTGTGATCATTTTTCCCGAAATGCCGACATTTTTTCAGTAATAGGTAGCAAATCGATCGTATTGCTTTGTTCTCTCGGTTTCTTTTTTCTCCGGAACATGCGCCTCCTCAGCTGTCGGCACAAAGAGGTGCAACTGATACATTCCCGGTGTGTTGATATAGACGCGAGCCGGCGAACCGGTTGCCGGGAAGACCAGCATGCTGTTGGCATCTAACTTATCATGCTCAATTTTCCCTCGTCCTTTAGAAGTCTGAGCTCCATCAAAAGAGGGACAGTAAGAAAATGATCGACTGACGTGCATTGAAGATGGATTTTTGAAGAGAGATTTATGCCCAACAGAGGTGATCTTTATTCCTGATACAAGCTCGTTTCCATTGATTTCTCCTCCAGTTTTCTGATCTGGAAAAAGAAAATAGTTTTGTAGTATCCAGATGGATTTCTGGAGGAGGTCAGCAGGAATTTCCAGATCGGATCCGTAAAGAGAGAGTGAGTCTGATCGTGCAAGGTGAAATGCACTATAAAAAAAAATAGTTTGTATTAATATACTTGATGTAAAAAAACTGTGCGAGAACTCATAAAATGCTGAATTATTACCCGCGACAGCAGTTACTTTAGTAATGCCAAGATGTAAAACTAACTGCTGTGGCAGGTAATTCAGCATTTTATAAGTTCTCGCACTCTTTTTTTACATCCAGAATGTTAAATCAACTTCTTTTTTTTCGGTGTGACATTATGCTCGACTTCTACTGGAAAAACAAAGTATCTTGGATCCAGAATCCAGATTTTTAAAAAAAAATGACAATGAAATTAGGCTTGCTTCAATCGGATTTTTGCTTGAATCGAGAGCCAAGCTTCTCAATTTAAGCGGATTTCTTATTTATTCAAGCAAAAATTCGGTGCCAGGACTACTCACCCACATTCTTCCCGCGTAAGGGACTATTCATTCTTATATTTTCACTCAAGACTTTTTAACCCACGGATATTCACCCATGAACCTTTCACCCTACGTCTTCTTTTTTAACCTACAAGCGTGTTCATGCAGTTGCAAGTTACAAAAGTTAGAGCGCTCTCACGGTCATGCCTGAATAACTGGAAACTGGAGGTAGAAATCAAGCTCGCCTTCAATTCGATGGATGCAATTTGAGCGGCTCAGGGGTTGAAATAGTTGTATCACGCATCTTAGTTTATGGCGTGGTGCTCAAGGACGAGTGACTTTCGTCGCGCTATCTCTGTATTTTCAATGACCACCGCAGCGAAATGTTCAACAACTTTTACTTGATTCTCTCCACGGAAAAATATGTCGATAATAACATTGAGAAAAGTTGTAGCAGTTAGAATTGAGCACCGCTCTCGCGGACACGTCTAAATAACTACACTGGAAAAAAACACATTGGATCTGAGTCCAGACTCTTAAAAACATCGACAAGAAAAAGTACTCTTGATTCAATCAGAATCTAGCTTAAATCGAGAACCAAGCTTCTTAATCCAAGCGGATATCGTTTTGATTGAAGCAAATATCCGATTGAATCAAGAGTATTTTTTCTTGTCAATGTTTTCAAGAGTCTGGACTCAGATCCAAAGTTTTCCAGTGTAGTTATTTAGACGTGTCCGCGAGAGCGGTGCTCAATTCTAACTGTTACTACTTTTCTCAATGTTAATATCGACATATTTTTCCGTGGGGAGAATCAAGTAAAAGTTGTTGAACATTTCGCTGCGGTGGCGATCCAATGTGTTTTTTTCCAGTGTAGGAACCAAGCTCACCTTCAGCTAGACCTCCCCTACGATTTCCTCGGGTAGTGTATTATCACCACGGCAATGGCTCATGAGCTGGTATAATTATTAGGAACAGTCATGGCAGGAATAACTACCGCGGTAGTCTTGGCAACCAGGAGGTATTTGCGAATTTCATCAGGGGAGTATTAGAGTTTCATGCAGGCGCTCTTTTGATTTGAAGGTAACTTCAATATCCCCAACCCCCTTTTTATTCCCTCAAAAATTTCAACCGTCGCTGCTGTTTCCGGGCAAAATTAAAAAAGGATGCACGAACCATTCAGATCCGTCCCATGTACAGTCAATGATATTTGGACGTATTTCTGCCAGACGGAACTATGTGCATTGTGACGTGAGCCTCGTTTTGCATATATTCTTATGAGTCTCAGGGCTAATGTCTTAATGAACATAGTTCCGTTCGGTAGAAATTTACGCGCGTTTATCGTGAAGTTGCATAAAATCAGGAGTTTCGATGAATACTCAAGTCTACGATCAAGATTCAATAAGATAAATGAACTGAAAATATTGACAGTTTTGATGATATACTATCAAATGGACTTTTATATCGTGTTTGGCTGGAAAAAAATCTGATTTATTTTGGTGAAATATAGTCGTGAAAATCCCAAAATGTCTGCCTTTCATCAATGTTGATAATCAAAAAATAGAAAATCTTGTTTCATACACGATGTACGTCTTAAGCAGAAATATAAATACCTCCTGTGATACATCGATGACTGATATCGAAATATACGCACCTCCATTTCAACGTTTAAAAATCCTCCTTTTTTTCATTTTTTAGAGGAAAAATAACCAAAACATTTAATTTTCTTGGGAATGACTCTTGATTTTGAGGAAGACTCAAATTAAATTTCAAGACAAATTGTTGGATATTTCGCTTTAAAAAAGAAAATATGAGTGTGAATTCACAACGTCGCAATAAGAGACACGTATATTTCGACTTAAGCTGTATCGATTAATCACAGCAAACACTTGAATTGATTTGCGCAGTGCTTGAGAAATTACAACTAGGGTGCAATCAGAAATTTTCACGGGAGGACGTTGAACGTCTAACGGTCAAGAATTTCTAAAAATCGCAAAATGAAACCTTCCTTTTCGACTAATCGATTTTCACTCCTTAACATCTTGCACCTTTTTTATCCTCAGCTTTACACTAATGAATTGACGTAACTTTTTTTCGGTAACATAATCTATCTTTTGAACATACCTTCAGAGTTGGAGATACTCGGCGCTGATTTCACTCTCATGGAATGCTGCTGTAGAATATGCAAGTCGCTCGTCTGCTGAAAAATAAAAGATGTGCAGTTTTGCACCGGGTTAATGGACTTTAGGTCTGTTTTGTTAGCGGTGAATTTTGGCTCAAAATGGACGGTATGTTTACTGTCTTGCTTTTTCTTCATTTTCTTTTCTGGTGTGTTGCAAATACCTCTTGGAATATTTGATTTAGGATTATTTTCTTCCAACTTTGCTGCTTCACAAGCTATGCAGGTATCTCGGCTACTCTGCCTAAATATATTAACGTTTGAAAGGATATGAAAGGAACTGGCGGTTCTGTGTGTTAACATGAGATTGCTTGAGTCGGTGGTGCAAATATGGCCTTCACTCTCACATTTAATGGACTTCATGCGCAGTGCTCTAAAAAATTGTTCCAGATCAGAATCTTTTGAGTCAATCGTACTGTCATTCGTTGTGTAGTATGAGTCATCGGCACAGCTTCCGCAATTACCACATACACTTGATGTAACTGATTTTCTACTTTTTACACTACTGACGCAAACACTTTCCGAGTCAGTAATTATGTCATCAGTATGGAATCTTTTCCCAGATTTAAATTTTTGACCCAGGCGGAAGTAAAGTTCAGTGCAGTCAGCGCGCTCATCATTGGAAGTGTTCGTTTCCTTTTTGACAATTTTATGGGATTTAGGTGTCCTGGCAGATTGAGACGTTGCGTTATCCGCAACTGTGTTTGGACTGCATGTTTCTGGTTCTTGAATCTCCCTTCCTTTCTTCTTAAGCACTCCTAGATTGCCACTGTTGGCCAAATTGCCTAAAGGTGACCTGCTTCTTGAAATTTCATTTCTCAATGGAAATTTTTTTGGAGGAGTCATGACGAATGAGTCCAATTTATCCTGAGGAGCCTCTAGAGGATTAAGATATGCCGGTGAAGTGGACTCTTTGACCAATTTGTTGAGGAAATCTTGCCGTTTCGTAACCGGCGGTAATATTTGGAGCTTAAAAGAACTTTGCATAGAACTGAACACTAATGGTAATTTTTTTTTTACATCTAATTTTGTCGGTGGGCTCTGAGCTCCTAAATCATTTATGTTAAATGATCGTACATTTTTTCGCTTGCTAGGTGGAGGGAGTACTTCTTCGAAGAGGACAGTTACATTTTGCTTCTTTTTCGTATGAGCTGCAGGGACTTTGAGAACTCCCTCAGTGGCGCTCAAAATACTCTGCTTACTTTCACGCCGACAAATAACTTCAGTACCGAAGCGAGTAGTTATAACGTCACCATTTTTTATTTGTATATTTTTCTTTTTGATATTGTTTTGACTTTTGTTCTTGACGCTTTTTTCCGCACCGTTGGTCACCGGTGTTGAAGTTGTGCCCTCCGAAGTAAGTTCACTTTTCTCGGAAATCAATGTCCGACTTGTCTGCGCGGAACTATCGGAACATTGATTCTGTTTGACGTTGAGGCTTAATGATGCGTTTTCAATTGGAAGCACGGCATCCGTGCAATTCAAACTGCATCCATCCGCACTACTATCTTCAGTCTTCATTATTTTATTCAAATACTTATTGGACTCCATGTTCTCCACAGTCTCATAAATAAGTTGATTTTGCTTGTTAGCATGGTCAATAGTACCAGGGAAGATTTTGTCTGGATTCTTGCTCTCATTTTGAACATTTGTTTCAAATTTCAGCTCTAAATTTAATTTCTTTGTCGTAGTGTCTATTGAGTTATGTTTTCCTCTCTCGCGTAGAGAGCTTTTTGACAGTGAGAGTTTTTTATTTCGATGTGAAACATTGTTTTGCTGCCCTGAGTCCAATGGAGAGCTTATTCTTGGTGACAAGTTTTGCGATTTACTATCTAGTGAGTCAAATATCCATCCATCACAGTCGCATGCTGAATTTTTAGGTGTCTTCGGAAGACTGGGGACGCTTGATCTCCTCAACAAGTTCTCCTCTTTTAAAAGGTGATCGTCAACCTTTCGCTTCCTGATGGTTACCCAATGGTCATAGCTAAACTTCCTCTTCAGGGTTCCCCCATGTTCACTGTAGCAAATTGTGTCTATGATTAAGTTTCCTTCGGTATCATCTGGTTGCTCATCGGAACAATCAAATCTGACTATGCTTTTTTTACGCTCTGACCGAGGAGTTGAATTCAACCCTTCACCTGTCAATTCAGGTTTATGACATATTACTTTCGCATTTCCTCTTGCTCCAAGACAATCGCCTAAATTTCCATTCTGTCTATTATCATTGAGATTCTCCGCAGTATCTAAAGCTGGCTCTATTTTTGTCAATCTAAGATCTTCAGAATTTTCGTCTTGAATTTGATTTTTTGAAAAATTGACAGCTGCAATTTTCTCTTCTTGATAGGTCGAAGCTGAATCTTTGAGTGGTTCTCTGGCATCACTTTTAATACGTGTACCATTTTCAGTTTTTATTTTTGATTGGTTTGGAGTTTCAATGTGAAATTTATGATTACTCAGAGTGATTTCTGTTTTCTGGTCCAGACTAGTTTTACTGTTTTCAGAACTGCGTTTTTTGTTATTCTCATGCCTTTTCTTGCTGGAATCACTAGATTTTATCTCCTTACCGGGAACTATTCCGTCATTGTCTCCACCACAATCTGCACCAGTAAAAATGTCTCCACGACGCTCAGTTGCAATTGTTCTTTTTTGCAAATCTCGCATTTTCGCTTCAAATACCTCTTGACAAACATCTCTTATTTCGTCTAGAAAAGTATCTGATAAACCTATGTCTACCTCTCTTCCGCTAGATTTTTCACCCATCTTGATAACTTTTTCGATTAAGGCTTGTGGTGAGAAATTAAAATTTTTGTCGTTGTAAACTACTATGCACGGTTGAGAAGTATCTCTCGGAGTGATCAGTTCTTTATAACACGGTTTGAACAGTTCTTCCAAATTTTGGAAAGGATTAAGCAACTCGAAACTTTTTACATGTTGATTCGGAGACTCTGTTGGGGGTTTATGATCAAAATAGTCGACGAAATTAGTAACTAACTCAATCTCATGTGTGTCTCTTTCTGCAAAATGCCTGGTGGAAATTTTTTCCGCACTCGCTGGGCGATCTCTCAATTCTGAGGGGACCCAAGGTATTGAGTTTTTTGAGCTGAATCTCTCTAAATAAGTTATTTCATCGCGAACACGAGGTTCAGATGGCAAAACTGCCGAGCCGTCCCCATAGACCTGTTTTGAAAGTGGATCGGAAAAATAATTTCTTTCTTTGGATTGGGTTGGAATTATTTTATGAAAACGATTCTCTAAGTATTGATCACGTTTCGAGCCACCTTTTTTAGAACTTCTAAGAATACTATCAGAAATTATAGGCTTACGAGAGTGACTCAAGTTACGAGGGTAATTTATAGCATCTTCGAGGCTTTTACTGACCGCTCGAGAAACATTCTCCGTGTTCATACAGATTACATTGTTAAAATCACCGTCCGGTATCCCCGTTTCAATTTCGTTCACCCTACTCGTCGATTTTTCGCGGGTTGATTCAATCGCTGTCTCCAAAATAAGACATTCCACATTTAAGTCATGTTGAATATTAGTGATCTCTTTATTATCTTCGGCACATAAATCTAGATCGTTATCAATTTCTAAAGGTTCTGATTGATGGGATTGTAAAGTTTTAGAAGGAGATTTTCTTTCAACATCCTGCGAGTGATAATCACTATCAATATTTTGAAATTTTATCATGGTAGGTTTTTGGAGGGTATGCGATCGACCATGGTTACATAAACCAGGTTGTTGCAGACTTGTGGTCTCCTTAACGATGACTCCTGCTTTACTCGAGGGAATTTCTTTGCTTATGATGCTATCGATGGTATCAGTCACCAAACGTTTACGATCCTCCAAATCTGAGGGCAAGTTATTACCTTTTAAAAAGTCAAGCAGATGATTACTATGACTGTTTTGCAATTTGAAAATGAGAGATTCTTGAGGAGAATTTCTTTGTTGTCGCTTGTGATAACTTCTCAGATAACTATTCTTGTTTTCGTCACTCGAGTTTGGATGAGAAATATTCATAGGAGTAATTATATTATCAAAGTTTGTCGTATTTTCACCCTCATCATTTTCGTGTTCAGGCTCAACAAGATTTTTTGTGCGCTCACATTTTATTTGACTGAGTTTTGACTCAGCTCCTTCAAAAATTGTAGTAGTATTATTTACAGGTATAATTAAATGTTGCTCATTGCAAGAGATCACAACCTTTATGTTCTCATTCTCATTTTTTTTGTAGTCAGGTTCAAGAAGACTTAGAGTGCACTCACTTCCTATTCGACTGAATATTGGCGCAGTCTCCTGAAAAATTTCCTCATTGCTTGCTTGTAACTCAGAGAGTTTTTGCTGACTTCTAGAGTCACCCAATACATCCTCCAAATTTTGTGATTCGCTTTCTTCTTGGGGTTCTAATATTGCATTTCTACTTTCAACTATTATAGGGTTACTGTCGGAATTCGAAGCAGTATTGGCTGTATTTTGGTGATGCTTTTTTCTCTCGACTTCTCTCATGTCCTTGAGTACACCAAAATTCAGCTTGCCAGGGCATGTGATTTGATTATTTTTTACATCTTGACCATCTTTACGAGCGTCATTTTCTTCATAATCTTTAAATTGTTCAGAGGTAAAGTCCCGCACATCGGAGACATGTTCATGAAACTTACAATTTTCGGAAACTACATGATTCTGTTTAATTTCTGTAGAGTCTGAACGAGAAGAGCCTTTTTTCCTTCCGATCGAACGTTCTCGGAGTACCCGACGTTCAACCTCATCGAAGTTCGCTAGATTCTGATCACTCGCGATAGACGTTAGCAATTTTTGTCGTCTTGCATGGGTATTTTTCTTTTCGAGTATTGCGTTCATATTGAGTAAACTGGATCCGAAGCTAATTTTTTTGGGTTGCTCATTTTTCATGAATATTCGTTGCAGAACGTTATCAGGTTTTTTCTTTCCATCTTTCTTGTCTTTTGCTTTGTGTTTGCATTTCATCAAACACTCTCTTGATTTTGTCACTGGTATTTCTTTTACGGCGGTCTTCTGCGAATTATCTTTGTTGGCTGGTTGTTTGCCTCCAGCTTTTTTGGATGATTTTTCAGGTGTCTGAAAAATGAACATAAAATAAAGGGATTGAAATTTCCGCTACGTATACAAAGTCATTAAAAGAGGGTAATTTAAAAATAATATAAAAGAAATTTATTTTTACAATATGAGTAGGTTCTTGAGTATTTTCCTTTCTCCCTATTTTATCCGTGCATTGATCAAAAAAAGTATGCAATGTGTGATATCCATTATTACACAGAGAAATGTGGGATACTTTAAATAAGGTAAAAATAATTTTAAGGAACTTTGGCGGCTGGCTGTCACAGAGCGTCAAAGAGCGCTATAAAAGCGGCTTTTATGTGTGTGAAAATGGTATTAGTTTTGAATGACGTTTTCAGTCACTTAATACATCCTCTCTTTAAAAATACTTCAATATTTTTTTCCTCGCGATAGTTTAAAATTCAGGTCGTCATAAGATCATTGAAAAATGAACGCTTCATTGCTTCATTTATCATTTTCTAATCATAAAATTGCCAATGCATTAAAAAATACAAAAAAAATAATAATCAGTTTTTTACATGATTTTTTTTTAAAATTCTTGAGCTCTTAAAACCGGACCAAGTTTTAAAGAAAAGGGCTGAGCCACATGTAGTTGGAATCAAAATAAAGTTTAACTCCCCCACACTTTTAAATGTCAGGGATAAAAGTCAACCATTACTCTTAAATTCAGACATTGTTTTTTCTTGCCTTCATATTTTTGACGCGAAAACTCTTCGACCAATTTGGATTACATTTTGTAAATAAGGAACCACTATTTCTGGTTCATTTTAGAAACGGCATAAATGCCATTGGTTTTCTTATGCAGATATTTGCTTTTATGGGAGGACCGGAAATAGTAGTTCCTTTTAACAAAATGCAATCCGATTGTCCTCCAAACTATTCCTTGTCAATTTTTTCTCTCTCTCAAAATGTGGTTTGGTTCCTTTCTGCTGGATTCAGTCTTTTTGCACGAAAGAATCGTGCAATTGATAAAACTGGATCTAAAGATGAGTATTGCTTGTATTACGATTTTTTAGTTTATTTAACACACCATAGAATACATTAGTATAAATTAATTCGCGGACTTCATTTCCGCTTTAACATGCATCAGTGATAACTTCACACCTAAGTATATTGTCCGAGCCCGTATCCTATAAATACGGTGTTACTCAGTATATAAATTCTCACCTTTGATTCAGAAGATTTGTCTGTTTTCTTCAGGAATGACTTCATGATTGTGGTAGATTTATTACACGGAAACCTCAAAATCCTTGATAAGAAACAAACACAATCACTTAAAATTCGTTTTCTACCCGGTGGTAACCTAAAGTCAAATCGCGACGATAAAACATGGCACTTAGGACACTTTTACGGAAACTCAGTTTTGCAAAAGTGTTACTTTTTGCATATTTGAAACATGTAGAAACAATGAAATTCCAACAAAGTATCAACAATATAGTGAATGTAATGAAAATCAACTCCTTTTTAGTTTACAATTCCTAATGGCTTCTGTTGTTATTTTCATATTTTACATCTTAAGTTTGCAGCCCTCTTTCAGAAAAAAAGTCGGTCAGAATATAGGCAACTTTCAATCATCGTATCGAAATCACGTTTCATTCGTCTTAGAATCAGCGATGGAGATTAAGGGAAAAGAAAAAAACTTTAAATGAGCGCAAAATAACTTGTGTCATCCAAAAAAATTTTGTCATCCAACTTTGGATGTAGGAGAGGTAAATCACTGGAACTGTCAATTGTGTGGGGAAAACCGCAATTAATTGATGCCACAGTGGCGCGCTGATGATCGATATTTAATTAAAATAATTATATTATTATAATTAATATATAATTAATTAGAATAAAATGAGGATTGAAGAATTCAGCGGTGCGGAAGCTGATAAAAACTATCAGCACTTCCTTTCAATACAAGGAAATGTCGTCTTTCGCAAATCACGGGATTTGCCTAGCTTCTTGATCAGCTTATTACCTCTATATTAGTAATGGTGATCAATGTAAAATCATCGATCTGATTGGTTTCAAAACAATTACATTGGAGTTCAAAAAATATAAAAATAAAAAATAAAAATAATATTAGTAAATAATAAATAAAAAAGGTGGTCTGGTTTGCAATTTACCAACATCTCTCGGAGTATGGAATGACAATATTGAAATCTTCCCATACGAATTGGTTAGATAAAATCTTGAGATAGATGCTACAAAATTTTGTCCATGTAAAAAGAATGCGTTGACAAAATGAAAAAGAAAAAACCTCCCAAACAACGTTTCTGTTGTGCTGCATTATGTGTGTCTTTCACCGACCGTGAAATAAAACTAATATTTAAGGTAGATTCTGTCATTTAATTTTCACCATTTTTTTTAAATCTCAATTTAATTTTCACGAGTTTAAAAATTGTCTGGAAAATGAAAGTTATAAGTAAAATGGTTTCATCTCATCTACAGATAAATAGGTTATAACAAACGTAAAAAAAAGAAAAGGTCATAAAAAAAAACTTAAAACTCAGTCAAAATTATTGAGTACTAAAACAATGGATGCTAAAATTAATGTGAATATTACATACATCAGCAACAAATCAAGTATTTCTCATAATATTTCTCCCAGGAAAAAAGATCATTTGTATTTCATTAATCAGGTGAAAAGAAAAGGAAAGAGGAAAAAAGAAAAGAAAAGAAAAAAATAATGTGAGTGAAGGAATGGTAATAAGTCAATGGAAACGCAAGGAGGGCGACTTGTTTGAATAAAGCTTCCTTATATCAATATCTTCCGTCATTTTACGTGGGAGTGATTTAGCATTGATTTTTCAAGAAAGTCTAGTTCCATTAAAGAAACAAAACAATAGATGCCTCTTATATGCCTCCGATATGGCTAGAATTCAGGTTATAAGAGAAATATATAAAGCAAGATAACGAGAGATGGTTGTCTCATTTAACTGGCACGTATTGTGAGTAACGAAAATACTCCATTTAATTTCACTATTAACATTCACAACTCACTAAGAGTGCTTTTAATATTTGTAAGGTAGGTACTCACGATCTTCACTGTATGTGCAGAAAAGTGAAATCCTGCAACAGATTCAAAGGACTTATTCGTAGGGTGGTGCGTAAAAACAGATCTTCTTAGAACATTGATCAGAGGAAGGGGGTGTCTTCAATTTTCTCCCATTGACAATCTGTAATTATAAAGATTAAAATATATCAACTCTGGACGGCTCTATGGATTATAGATGCAGTAATGCCCTAGTGGCAACTTTTGAAAGTTGGCAACACGGTTTTTCCTCCATCTCAATGCATTTGAAATGTGAAAAAATCGACTCTTAGTGAAGCAGCTCATGGCCGGATTTGCCTACTTGCCGCCCATGGGCCGCCTGTATTTTGCCGCCCTCTTCTCATTTATTTTGAAACATTAATAAAAACCATCAAGTGAATGTGTCGGAGGGAGAAGAGTGCATAAGACGCGTTCACTCGTGTTGGACACATTTTTTGCGTAAGCCCTGTCAACACTACTGGCAAAAGTTCACGGAAGTTCGCGCGGAAGTTCAGTTCCGTAAACCTAACTCTGTGTGGACAAGGTCTTTCATTTGTAAGAAATGAACTAAAAAATTAAGGAAAAAAAAAATATATATGAGGTTTAATCATTTTAACTTCCGCCACCGTGCCGCGCTGACCACACTGTGCTTGGCGCAATGTGTGAAGTATTCATGTAGTCTTGTGGGCACTGTGCGTTTCACGCCGCGCCGACCGCTGTTGACCGTACTGTGTCTGACGCAATGCGTGAAGTATTCATGCAGTCTCGTAGGCGCCAATATGTGTTACATGCCGACCGCCGCGCCGAGGGCTTCTCCTTTTCATCTCAAGTCCTCGTCATCATTTCTCTCTGCGCCGCGCCGCTCGAGGCCAAATTACGTGTTTGCGGTTTCTCTCTTAATTCAACTAATTAAAGGTGCGCAGTCTTATGTATCACCGAAATACGACAAAATTAGAAACTAATGAACTCTCAGGAAATGAGAGATTTTGTCATCTTTTCTTGTTTATAATTTTATTCTGAATCCGATTTTTTTGTACCTGCATTTAAAAAAATTGCAAAATTTGCCGCCCCCTAATTTTGCCGCCATGGGCCGCGGCCCATGTGGCCACCCCCTTCATCCGGCCCTGAAGCAGCTTGCATTACCTTAAATCAATGTTTCAATGGATTTAATGGAGAAAAAACAGTGTTCCCAACTTATAAAATCCCCACTGAAGTGCCCGCAGTTTAAACTGAAGAAATAAATAATATAGAAAGCATGAGGTACTTGCAACCGCAATTTTAAAAAGTAGTTCCGAACACCACTCACACTCAAAAAGATACTCAAAATGGTTATCATATATTCAGTGTATATAAAGCATATACTCCCAATTTTTATTGACTACCCTTGATTTTCACCTACATATGTATAATTCCTAGTTTAAAAATAATTGGACAGCTTATTCTCAATTTAAAAATAAAAATCCCTTTTCATATCACGCTGAAGCACATTAGGTATTCATCGGTCGGTACATAAGATATATGTGACCAAGACATACTATTCATTAAACTGAGAGTGTGTCTCGATTAAGTTTTGCGAATAAAAATTATCGTAGATTTGTGATTTTCACCAGGGATGTGCTTCTGAAGTTATTTCAAAATTTTCCTTCGTCAGTATCTGACGGACTACAGCATGATGTAACAATTGGGGAATTTTTTAAAAACATTTCCAAAAATCAGAAATTATCACGTCGATAATTGAATCGAATATTGATATAATTGAATTGATTATCGATCGAATCAATATTAGCTCGATCTCCTAAGTACTGAAGATCCGCCGTAAGGTTTTTACCGACAAGGAAAATAAAAATAGAGGGGTTTCCATCCGAATATCTTGGTGAAGAGTCCATTGTGAATATTCAACATAGCAATGTAACCGAGCGTGCTTGAAATTGCCAAACAGAGCAAAATATCCTCGTTGCATGCGCATTCCCAGATTTTGCATCCCTTCTACTCTTATTCAGTTTTTTGATTACGGCTTGAGTTGGTCGTGGCATATTTACATATTCCTCATGGATGGCTCATCAGGACAGAAAGGAATTGCTTCCATGAAACTGATTTGCATGCTAAAGCATTCCACAGCCTCTGCACGGACTCTATCAAAAACACAGCGGATCTGGTAACTACGAAAATTCAAGAGTAAACTAGTTTAGAGCTTTAATGAAGCAGGGTAGGACTTATTTGTTCTTGTGGAGATATCCTGCTCCATATTTTGGCTCTGAATGACAAATCCGTACCAACAAGCGTTCCATCCATCTCTTATTCAAATGTATGAGCATGGATAGTGAAGAAAAATGTTTGTTGAGGGGCTGGACCGTCCCCCCCCCCTTCCGTATGAATAAATCGTCCCCGCGGGAAAAAAATTGGAAGGACGATTTACTTTTACTTGTCAACTACAATTGATACGTGACTTTCTGTGAGAATGGGGTGCACAAAGGAGTATTTTGCGAAAATTGTAAAACACATTTTTCTGAAATATACCTAATTAAACCGGACATGAACCGAGTCACATTCCAGGGAAAAATAAGTCAGCGGCTTTGAGCTTCAGTATAGCGGTGCTTTTTCTCCTGTCAAAATTTCAAAGCCGAAGTAGCAATGGCTAGGCGTGAATGATCGACTATCGATATTTTCCCATTTGAAGTTATGATAAAAAATCGATTATTAAGGTGTTCGTTGCGAACACCCTGTAAATCGATCCTTTTCTATAGGTTTAAATGGCAGTTCAATCGATACATCGCAAGGCGCGATACGCCACTGAAAATAAGAATTTTTTAGTTTATAATTTCAATATAGACTTCAATCTCGTTTGCTCACTACTGTCGGAGAGCTTTTTATTTTGCAACAAGGCAGTTATCTCACCAAAAAAAAGGGGGGGAAACTCAACATGTTGCTTTGCACAGAATTAGGAGGTTGGGCAACTCAAAATAGCTGAGATGATTTATTTTGGGGAGAGGGTAAACAAATCGACGCGCATGGAGAAGTTGAGCTCTCTACAGCTATTTGAAGTTTTTTATGAGAAGGTTAAGGCGAAGCAAAAAACGAGGAAATCAAATGATCACAAGCAAAATTACCTTCCTCCCACGAAGTCAAATTTAGGTTATAGACGTTGTTATTTCACCAAGATTGCTGTCAACCTCAAAAAGTTGCGTGGGGCGCCTCCTCAACTGCTGGACATGAGCCGTGCCTGTTGTCTTATTTACTCGGAGACAAACCGCACTCGATTTACTTTGTACATTTTAACAGCACTTCAAATTTTAACCTCTCCACTTGAAAATTTAGGAATTTATAACATTTTTATTGAAAATTTTGCTCTGGTTTTCAACATTTTATTTGGCGTTTATCAGCTGCAGGCTATCAAACTGTGGAAAGGCCCAACTCAATTCTTTGTTTCCTTTCATCTCACTTCCTTAATCCACAGCTGTTCCTCAATCCGTATGATTTATATTATTTCGACGCAAAGCATAGGTTATGGTATTAGGTGTTGCCGTACTCGATATTTTAAAATTTATTTGTATACATGGCTCGATCCAGCGAGCTCTTCTGGATAAGCATATTTTTAATGGTGCCAAACTGCCCATTCCTATGATTCGCAGCCCAACCCCCCCCCCCCTCCCACCGTGTTTTATTTGTACATTTTTTTAAACTAAACAATAGTTTTCTTAAAGTTTCCCGGGATTTCTTTCAAATAATATATTAACATAAAATTCCAAAATGATGCTTCGATAAAGTTTTCTTCTTCTTGAAAAAAAAAGAAAAAAAAAAAAAAAAAAAAAAAAAAAAAAAAAATTAAACATGGTCTGAGATTCTGAAACGTTGCGATTTAGATTTTTGTTCCTGAAATTATTAGGAAAAAGGGAAGAAAACTCGTTTAGAGATCTCGAGAATGATGAGACGTGGAGTTTCATTTTAAAGAGGTGCTGATTGCACCATACCAGCCAGCGCTACATGATCGTATCAGCGTTGCAGTATGACGCGCCTTCAATTCCAGCGAGCGGCAACATAGGCATCACCCGAGTTGGTATAGTTATCTCACAAGCGCCTTACTTAAATGACGTTAAATATCAATTGCTATACATAAAAATACCTATTTATCTTCATGTCGAATATATTCACGAAAATTTTAATGGGGGATTGTTTTTTATTTCATTTTATTTTTTTCGCGAAGGAAATCTGCTCCAATTAATGCACTTCATCAGTGAAAGTTTTGAAAAAAATAATCACTTCTAAGGTGATTCTCATAAGTAAAATTGCACGCTCTGTACTTTTGAATGGAAGCATTTTCTTACTACGACGCGTTTTTCACACAAGAATCGATTTTTGATTATAGGAACAACGGTTATTCAATGGCAAAGATTGACAACTCAAGATTTTTTTAAAGAAGAAAAATAAAGTCGTCTATGATCAGATCGAAACTTTGCTGTTTTTTTATTGTATTGGTACCTTTTGGAGACCGGGAAGCTGAACTTGTCCAACTTTTTTTACGGCATGCAAATGAGCCACATCCTTTAACCCCAGCTTCAAAAGACCTGGGAGTTCTTGTAACTCTCTTCCTTATAACACAGCTTAGAGTCCTCGAATACACAGAAACCCTTTCTTAATAATTCGGTATTAACCATCGTTATTTTTGGTTTCTGTTACAGAGAAGGCTGAATCCAATCAAATTTTCCATATCAGCAGATGGCCAGTTTATTCTTCTTGTTCACAACGTTCAAAAGGTAAAATGCACCCTGTAAGAAATAAAGGGTTACATTCTTGAATGATTTTCTTTTATTAAAAAAATAAGTTCGTAGACAATCTTTTAAAATTTTGGAAATCATAAAAAAAAAAAAATAAATACAAATTTTAAAATGATCATTATTTCAATAATCATGCTCGAATAAAAATATCTCATTGTATATACTTTGTGCTCTTTTCTCTTTGAAAAACTTATGTGGTTCTTTTTTCTTGTGCAAGCAGCTCTTCCGGCATTCATTTTTAGCTCAATACTCCATTTACGAGCTAAAAACTACGTGAGTCATTTTTTATTTGGCAGTTTTAATTTTATTGTGCTCGTTTGACACATCATAGTAATTTGATAAAAAAATTTATTCAGTGTTTATCAGAAAATTGTATATTTACTTATACTGCCCCTTGCCCTCACTTTTTAGCGATAAGATTCATGACTCCTCGAAACCATCTGTTGTATGTAAAAAATGACTGAACAACTCATTAAGTACCAAAAATTAAGGAACTTATGCGTATTCATAAATATATTTAGAACCCAATTTTGGTCCTTTGCATTCCTCCTTCCCTTTGATCGGCGAGCTCTACCCCTCCCCCCTCCCCGCATTGGAGATCCAACTCGTCGCTTCCAAGACGAAGGAACGTAACTACTTTCCAGAACGTTGCAAAATGTCTATTTTCGATTTTTATTTTCACTCAAACTTCTTTTTTTTTTTTTTTTGAATAAAGTGCACTCAAACTTGTTGGAAATTTTAAAATTTCCTAACGAACTACCTTCAAAAATCATCGAAATTTTAGACGAAAATTTCTCTTTCATTTTTGTGTAAACAAATTGCGGCAGTAGATTTTGCAACACTGGGGTAGAAATACGTTCCTTTGTCAGCAAAATGGCAAATTGAAAAAAAAAAGAAAAAAAACCACTGGCTGCCTTGCAATAAATTTTCTATTGTGTCTGGACCGACGACGAGATTGGCCCTGACCACCGATAAAATCATGGCTGACGGTACCAACGAAGCGCAGAATTCACACCTTTACCTTCCCCCAAAGCTAGCCCGAATAATTGCTTATGCTACCTGCCAGTCCGCTTATTGCATGGTTGGTTCTTCTATCAGATGATGGTGACTAGGATAACAGATAAGTAAGGAGTTATTATGGGGTCAAGTTAAAAATAAAAAAAAAAAAAAAAAAAAAAAAAAAAAAAAAAAAAAAAAAAAAAAAACATCACCTCAACACACTCAAAAGTGGAAACGAGAGAAACCTTTCAGCGGCATCAACCAAATTAACTGAACTAGGCTTGCCAAATGACGTAATTGCAAGTCTGGTGTCAATTAAAGGTTATTAGGTTGAGAGTCACGAAGTAATCACAATGTTAACACAATAACACAATAAATAAGCTAGAAAAAGTTAAAGGTTTCGTAGTTTCTATCTTTTCACTTAGGATTTGTCTTTACTGTTGGTTGTTTTTTTTAACAACCATATGTTGATTCTTAAAATGAGACCTCTTCAAAGTTCGTAGTGACTTTACACATGCACGTCTCTCCACATCATGAATCTCAATGTAATTGTCATCCTTCATCAACCTTACACTATATTTTTCAGGGATCTATTTCCTCTATTGGTTGGAGATGTAAAAGGACATCCGTTTCTTCTACATGCAGAATGGTCATCCGTTGGTCAAAGTCTCATCATAGTCCATGATTACGATATTTATTATAAAACAGCACCAAGAGATGAAAAAACATTCCGAGTGACTAGAACAGCCGTGCCGGGAATAATTAGTAACGGAGTTCCAGATTGGCTGTATGAGGGTAAGTAGATCAAATTTGATACGTAGTCAGGCTAAAAGGTCCTCAGGTAATAATTTAAACCTTCCAGTGTAATGAAAAAACCAATTTGGTGTCAGAAATACTGATTTTCAATTGTTGAGCATGAACACTATCTAGTATTCTCAAGAACATGAGATCGACGTTTCAAACCATTTTTGGACGTATTTATGCTGAAATAAGGAATTCTCTTCGAATGAATTAAACCAAAATGAACTGTAAAGGTATATGATTTGTTTCTTTCATGGCTCTTTTGAATTTAATTTGCTTACACATAGTTTCTCACATTATATGTGTGTCCAATTTTTATCATTATAAAATTGTGTAATCATTTATACGATTGGTCTTGTTTTGAAGGCTGACAGCGTTACCGGTAAACTTCAACACCTATGGTTGAACAAGGTAGAGGCCAGGGAGCGTTCCTTTTTATATAATCTACCATTTCATAGCAAAAGACTATCATATTTTTAAAACATTCGCCTATTATCAAGCTACATATTAAAGCCCATTATTTTCTGAGAATCTTATTTCCTCAATTAAAAAAAACGCACCGCGAAAGTTTTATTTTCTTCCTCCTCATTCACTTCTGTTGCTGTTTAAAACAAAGTTGAAACAATAAATGTTATTTTCAGAGGAAATCCTTGGAACGAATACAGCTTTGTGGATGTCTTCGGATGGCAATTTGCTTCTGTACGCTTGTTTTAATGACTCTTTAGTAGGAGAAGTGAAATTTCCGTGGTACGGCACATCTGACGACTCACAGCAATATTATCCAGAAATTCGCAGCCTGAGGTATCCAAAGGTAAAGAAAATACTTTTTCAAAGATAGTTTCATCGTGTTAGGATTTTATACAGAGGCCAGAGTTGCTAAAAGAAATTTCATCGAATGAAATTTCTTTTTACCCAATGAAATTGCTTAAATTTCATGAAATTTCTTTTTTCCCCATGAAATTTCTTGAAATTTTCGCATGAAATTTCTTCTTATAATCTTTCACGAAATTTCTTAACTCTGACAGAGGCACTTTTGCCTACATGGACGCATTCCTTGATTGCCGTATTCAGAAAAATGCAAGATAGTCAAAATTCGTAGTTTTCTAAATAAACGAGCATATAGCCATTCAAGGGTTACACAATTTTCCTGCAAAATTCTTCACTTAATGAGACATGAAAATGACACCGCGAATTCTATTCCAAATTCCGCTGCTTTGAAAACAGAGAACTCTTCTCTTTTTTTTAAAATTGAAATTGTTATGAAGAAATAAAACCTCAAACTCCGCTTTCAAACGTAGGTTCGAATGGGGTTTCATGTACCTTTCCGAAAGTTTCTCCAATCATGACTCATGAATGTTACTCATAAGCCACGCTTAAATACTCAAGATAAGCTGCGAGCTTTTGAGAGGACCTTAAATGCTGCTGAAGATATTTATTTTGCGCGTTTTTAAGTCTACTTTATCTTCATCAATGGTATATCGTCATTATTAGATACGCTCACTCAAGCAGGATGATGAGAAAAGGGAACTCTCGAAAGGGATTTTGTAGGCAAAACATGGTGGCGGTGGAGAGAAGCGTTTGAAGTTCTAATATCAAGAAAAGCCCCGCCCGAACGGATTGCTCAGCTGAGCATGACCGGAACGATTTTTTACTAACTTAGTTCAGAACTTTTCGTAATGCGAGGAAATTCTGCTCCATTTATTAAACGCTGAACGGTATTCGTTGACTCAATACTAAAATTGAAACATTCAATAAAGAATTCGAATGATTGCCTTTTTTTTCTTGGTCATTCCTTTTTATGCTGCTTATAGCAGTGCCTTTATAAGCTGTGTGTACGTGCAGGTCTTTCCTCCTTTATTTTAAAAGTCTAATCCTTCACTGGAAAAAAACGCATTGGATCTAGAGTCCAGACTCTTAAAAACAGATTTAAGCTTAAATCAAGAACCAAGCCTCTTAATTTGAGCGGATTTCCTTTTGATTTAAGCAATAAACTGATTGAATCAAGAGTTCTTTTTCTTTTCAATGTTTTCAAGAGTCTGGACTTTCGATCCAGTGTGCTTTTTTTCCAGTGTTGTATTCTCTAATGAATAGATATCAATAACTTTCTAGGAACCCTCACTTTTCTTCACCCATTTCTTACTGATTCCCCTAGCTCGCGACTACATTTTGTAATTGTGACGTGCATAACTGCTAGAAACTGATTGTGAGTGTAATGAATGTTGGTACTAAATTACTGAAAAAAAAAGGATTGACATTATAGTGTGTTTAATGTGGAGTTTCTGACATTTTTCAGGCTGGAACTAATAATCCCGAGGTGTCCTTATTTGTAGCAGATCTAAGTGATGTGAGCAATATAAAAACGAAGCTTCTGAAACCTCCAATGATGTTGGGCCAGACCAAGTAAGAAGTTCTAAGAATATAAAAAGTTACAAATTTTACTAAATTCTTTACTAGAAATTATTATTCAGGAGGAAAGGAAGGATGAGAATTCGAGTGATACGATAAAAAAACCATATCTAACAATTGACTTATTCAAAGGATACAGCGTTATTATGCAGTTGATGTTCCTTCTCATAAGCTGGTATTTCGCATATGATGCACGTAAGCACGCGTATGACGCCTAGAATTCTAACCGTGAAATATCTCAATATCGCGGTTTTGTACACTCACGAAGGGCTGAAATTGAATATCTCTTGAATCATGAAATGTTGGTATTAATTTTATTAAGGAAGAGTTGACTCTTTTTAATAAGTAGAGCACAGTTCCACGACGAAACCATTTTTCTTTGTGTTTGCATAGATCTCTTATTACATTTTATGCGAAATTACTTGTTAAAAATCTCCTCAACGAGTAAAAATGAAAAATCTGCAGATTCTCAAATTCAAGCTTTTGTTTTAGGGGCTACTATTTTAGTGCCGTGACGCTGATAAGTTCAAATGAAGCGTGTGTGGTTTGGCTAAATAGAGCGCAAAACACTTCCATGACAACAATATGCAAATCTCCATTGTGGACGTGTATAGAGGTAAGTTGGAAAATTACGACTTTCAAATTCTTCTTATTTGGTCCAGACCAATGATTGTGAGCTATATTTTTCACTCAGCGATTTGCATATAAGCATTGCTTGCATTTTTCATGTCGAAAACCTGATAATGGCACCAAATTTTACGCCTCAGGATCGTAACGGTTATCGCTCCTCCAACGTCTCCTATCCTCAAGGAATGTCTCATTTGGTTTGTACTGTTGGCAAGAGAGGTTATGGGATGCTTCTAAATCCACATCATGAAAAAGATGATTATTGGAAATCTGGGGTTAAATTTAACACACAATGTCTTACAGTGATTCACCACTGGAAAGAAAAAAACAAAAAACAAAAAACAGATGCAAACTGAACAAAATTTAAGAGCAAGATGAAGCTAACTTAAAACTTGCATACTCAGCAGTACATTTCCCTCAGTTTTGTGCAAATCATTGTAATTTCTTGCAACGGCTTTTTGCTTAAATTATATCATTGGATATTACCGGAAAATAAAAGTTGTTTTATCAGTGATCATGTGCCCAAGACCTCCTAAAAACCTCCCTCAATAGCAACGGAAACCAGTGGGTGGCGTGCTTTGCGATATATAGATTGTTATGCCATTTAAACCTATGGAAAAGGATCGATTAACAGGGTGTTCGCAGCGCACACCTTAATAATCGATTCTTTACCATAGGTTTAAATGGAATAACAATCTATAGGTCGCAATTCACGCCACGCCACTGACGGAAACCATACGGAGCCATACTTTGGAAAAGAACCATGTAAACTACCCTTATAGAATAAAATGAATCTTCATTTCTGCAGTGTTAATTAATAGTTTACCAAAGTATCTCTCTCTGACACACTTTTTCATGCTGATGCCCGCCCCCTTTACCTGTCCATTGAAAATTGATACAGGGTTATTCAAAATTCACGCACCACTGGTCATAACTTTAGTTCTAATTATGATATCGATTTGCGGTTTATGACGTTTTTCCTCATATCGAAGGGGAAACTTTTTAGGTACTTTCCAGTTTTTAATCCTCTTGGGGGTGGAAGGAGGGGGGTAACTCAAAAATTTCTAATGGCCACCCCACCTCCCTTATGGCCAGTGGTGCGTGACTTTTGAATAACCCTGTATAATGGCACAAATAATATGATATAATTTTTCCGATTTCTTTGATGTTAAACAGGCGCAGAGAGTTAGTGGCGAGGGTCGGGGTTGGGTGGATCCACAAAGTGCACCTTTATTTTCGCCGGACGGGAATGTTTATCTAACTCTAGTTCCTGTTCGGGACGGTACCTCCGGCTTCTTTAGACATATCGTATCGGTCAACATTAATAAGAAACATATGCTTCCCCTCACTCATGGTACCTATGAAATCAACAAAATCGTCGCTTGGGACCACGAACACCATCTGGCGTAAGTATACATCCTCAACTATACAGAATGAGAAACAACTTAATCAGCCAAAATACACATAATGTATTTAATTTATTTTCCGGTTGAAAATGAAATTGTAACTATTTTGAAACGTTCCGGGTTTTGTTTATCTTTTGTTCTGTATTTGCAGCCTTTTCCCCAAATTAAGTTGTTCTTTTATTCATCCTTATATGAACCTGGGTTATCAGCGTTCATAGCATAAAGTACAATTTAATTATACGAGTTGAAATCGTTTTTGAATGGCAAAATCTCGCGACTTCGCAAAATATCACCGAAATTTCAAATTTCAAAACGTGTAGTTGTAGCAATAATCAAATTCTCTCCGTAAGAGCAGAGCTAACTCCGCAAAGAGAGATCCTTCTTCTCCTCACCCATGTTAATTGCTTCTTTGGGAGTCAAATCAATTCCGAATTGAATTTTTTTCATTTTTAAATTTTTTTTATAATTTTTTTCTAGGTAAAAATATTTCGAAGCGAACTCTCCGGAATTTCACTGAGATCCTTAATAGTGTAGCTTCAGATAATATCATGACCCACCTTTGATTGGTATCCTTAATGATGTTAACGAGGTACTCAGTGCAAATATTAGTTACTAGAGGCCTGTAGCCGCTACGCGGCTTCCAACCACCGAGAAGAACTACACGTAAAAAATAGTAGAACAACCACGTTCAAGTTATTTAGGAGATGAATGGATTCAAAAGACGACGGGTGCACGCGAAAGAAAGCGTATTCATCTCCAAGTGCAACGTTATGCCCCAATTTTTATGTTTTATTTGTGAACACTATTTTTAAAAAGCCACACAGTTTTTCCCATGAATTTTCTTAAATGATCTCAAGTGCAAGCATGGAAAATTTCGACGCGACATTTTCGTTATCATTCTATTTTCTTTCCATGTAACAAAAAAAAATTAATTATGTGAATTTTTGAATCGTTGCAATGAGGATACATATTTTCCCTTTACTTATGATAAAAACCGGAGCAGTGAGTTAAGAATGATGACGCATAATCCTAGTTTAACGGTGGCTTTAGCGTTGCGCGAGCCTGGGAACGGAACGTGGTAGAGTCATCTTTGCAGTGTGACGCGCCTTCCATCCGGCAAGCGGTATTATGCCTACACCCATGTTCGAACAGTTATCTTGTTACGCCTGCCGTCAATGAAACCAAATATCGACGCCTCCACGCGGGAAAAAATGTTCTTATCTTCGCAGCTTCCATCAAATCGCAATTGCCCGGAAACTAGAACCGCACATCTTACCTGATAAAATCGTTCGCCCTTTAGACCGATTCTGGGGGATTAGGCTAGACTGGAGTCCCTTTATACTGAGAGTCAAGACAATGCGAATCCATTTCTGATTGGTCAACCGGATTTTAGGCCTTCACAGTGTCACAAACGGGAATAAAGATTACATTTTCACCAATTGCAAAGATTATAATCTGGAATGGACCGAGGAATTTCGGGTTCGACAAGGAACAAACGGAATGAGAGAAGGAACGGAGAAAGGAATTTAAGAATGAGCCGATCAAAGATTACGAAAAACGTTCAATTTGTGTAATCTTTATTCCCGTTTGTGACTCCATGAGGGGTGTTGTCTTGACTCTCAGTATAAAGGGACTCTAGGCTAGACTAGTCGATGAGTCAACTGTTGGTCTAATTTCATCACGTGATGAACGCAGAAGAAAAACGGGGTAAAAAAACACAAATGTGTGATCAATTTTCAAGGACAATTCTGTAATTTCTCCTACGATTTTAAATAGATTAAAACGCGTAATATCCAAAATCTAAGCTCAGATTCGGATTCCTCGTAAAAAACTGATGCGATTTCATGCATCATATGTTAGAATAGCGTGAAGGAAAAAGGTTTAACGACGCGTGTAGATTCTGTCATACTTTCCCTTTGAACTACGCCGCCGCGGCGCTTAGCGTTCGGTTTCGTCCCGAGGAATTCCTCACGATAAATTCTTATTCTTCCTCCTCCGCTGACCCACTGAGCACTACCCATGTTGCCACGTTGAATTCATATGCTCGAATCAGTATGTACGTTACGTCTCTTTCCTTCACGCTATGCTCGGGTATGATACATGAAATTGTATCAATTTTTAACGAGGAATCCGAATCTGAACTTCGATTTTGGGTATCATGCGTTTCAAGTCACATTTTCCAACTTCAAAAATCCGAAATGACGGACGTGGCTAAAAATGCTATCTCGGCTCCTGTTCGATGGATTTTTATGAAACTCGGTGTCAGGGTATGACACATGAAATCGCATCGATTTTTTACGAGAAATCCGAATCTGAGCTTCGATTTTGAGTATTACGCGTTTTAAACCAAAATCTGTCAAAATTCAAAAAATTCAAAATTCGAAAATCCGAAATGACTGAAGTGGCTTAAAATGCTAACTCGGCTCCTGTTCGATGGATTTTTCTGAAATTCGGTGTCAGGAGGTATTTTTCGACGGGAAACTCGAATTTTTAGACAATTTTTTAAAATTCTCAAATCGAAGATGGCGGACGTGGGCTAAAATGCTATTAGTCCAGTAAACGAAGGGATTTATGCGGAACAAATTAGTAACAAGCTGAAATTTTTACCACTGATTATACCCACTGTGGGGCGTATTTTCACAAAAGTCCCCATTCCTAGCCCCCTAGGGATTTTTGCTAGCCCCCCTCAAAGTTGAAAAATCCCCCCTTCCAATTAAACTGCTGTAACTTGGCTCCTATTATAGTTAGACACCTCAATTTTTTTTTTTAAATTGTTCGTATTGATACGTACGTTAAAATGAAACCCTTGGTCATCAAAATTTATCAAGAGATCGTTAAGAAAATTTTAAAACAAATTCAAAATTTATGAAATGGAATTATTTTTTTTTAAATAAATCGGAATAACTCCGTTATCGATTAAAAAATGGAATTTATACTTAAATGAAAATTTTTAGAGGGCGCAATTTCCTATCAAATGGTGTATTGGAAGTTAAGGTAGGAGCAAAGGGTGAGGATGAGAGGGGGGTGGAAGTCCGGCAGAGCGCGGCTCAGCGCGGCGCAGCGCAGCGTATAATAACACGCAGCACTCACATAGAACCGCCCCAACTCACTGCTTCATGGCGGCATGTTTCTCAAAAAGCCCACTCCTAGAATTTTTTTTTTCTTCAATTCTAAGAGGGCAACATTCTTGTAAAATGCAGATAAATTTTATCTTTCAAAACCATAAATTTTTCAATATGTTTGGCTATAAATAATTACATTACATTTGAATGAAGCTGTTTCCACTTGGACGCGTTTTCGCTTCCTTCCTTTTTTTATTTATTTTTTTGAGAGTGAAACATTTTGAAATTTAGTTAGTAGTAAACATGACTGAATAAGAGGAATAAATGAGTATAGAATTAGATTGAGGTGGAAATTTATGGATATCTTTAATTACCTAATAGTTTTACTTATGAAAGAACACACAGCTCTACGAAAAATTAGAGCAAAAACAAATATTTAATACGAAAGAAAATGCCTACATGGGTATTACAAAAATGTCACCTTTTAAGCGATGTAGTCTATTATTGATGGCATTCGTTAATTTTCAGGTTAAAATTAATTGAACAGCAAATAAAAGCAATCATCGTAAAAATTATCAGTAACAAAACAATAATGACATAAAATAACGAAAATGGACACATAAAGTTAGCTGTTGGCAAGTTCAAGACGATACTTGAAACTATTTCGGGCAAAAACCTATAGATGGTCCTCTTCAAATTCTTCGACGGCTGGTAATATACTTTTACATGTTCCGCCACTACAATTACGACACATAGCTGAACAACAGAGCCCTTAATTTTAAAACATTTACAGTTTGTGCCGCAACCAGACTTACAGTTACAGGAGGTCATCTATATAACATCATCAGGCGCAAAATTTAATGTAGAATGAATAGGTAATAGAAATTTTCTTTCATCGCTTCCCTCTTCTTCCCTCCATCCCCACTCTTTCGGGTCGAGAGAACTATTTCCAAGCCAAACTTAAATTTGATAGTAAACTCTAAAGCTATGCTGTTTCGCCGCTAATGATGTTGGTGGAAGAGTCACCATCTCAAATTTAAATTTTAAGGACATTTTAGCAACTTTTCTTGAATACATTATGAAGCGGCACTCATCTAAAATTTGAGTTAAGTTGGCTCCCCCATAAAAATTAATTAAATATTTTTCGCCTACTGTGCCTATTCTTTCCTTATCAACAATCGACTCATTAAAAATTAGAACATCTTTTTGTAAAGAAGAATCATTAACCATGGGAGGTTGTATGCTTTTATTTTACTTGTCCTGAAAAGAGCGGAGGTGGTGTCGCATCCTGTCATTGCATAAGCGAAAAGAAGTAAAGAACTAGTTTGCTTAAAATCGTCGACTAGTTTCACGATATTATACAGAGTACCAGGATTTTTTGAAGTTCCAGGAATTTTGAAAATTATTTTTAGTTTCCTTCTCTTGATTAATGTTAACATTATAACCATAAGATCAGTGTCCGTCCCTACCATAACAACTGTTTCTCCTCTCTCAGCTCTCAAAATGGCAGACGAGACAATATCCCGATCTGCATCGGCCTCTGCAATAAACACCTTGACACCAACTTTTCTCAACTGCTCCTCACTGACAGCTGCAATGAGCTTTTTCTTATTTTAAGAATTTGAGAGAAATTCAGCCTGCGTTTTCGTACCTACATTGCATTGCTAAAGTGAAATTTATTGTGGCTGATGTTTTTTTTTTTTTTTGCTCTTCTTACTTTTTCTTGACCTTTTGTGGTTGAATAAGCAGGATAACCGTCGAAAACAAAAGATGAATGCTTAGTGTATCGCTTAAGAGCACAAGATACGTACATATTGACAATATCTCCGTAAGTAGCAAGTTTCGGCCATCTTTTCGGCATTTGCTCACACACTCTTGCAGCATAGAAGAATGAACCCTTCCACCGCGGTCATTTTCAGTACGCGCCGCATACACGGAGAAAAAAATTTCGTACGTGGGACCCGAAGTTTAGGTCATATGGATCTCGGAAGTTTTCGGAATGAGCATCTGAACACGTAAGGTCTAGCTGCCGAAGTTCAGGTCTGACATCTAAAACTTCAGTTCTTACATCTGAAGTACTTCAGATGTGAGAACCGAAATTTTTCAGATGTGAAAACCGAAGTACTTCAGATGTAAGAACTGAAGTTTCAGATGTCAGACCTGAACTTCGGCAGCTAGACCTTAAGTGTTCAGATGCTCAATCCGAAAACTTCAGAGATCCATATGACCTAAACTTCGGGTCCCACGCACGAGATTTTTTTCTCCGTGTACAATACATCCTCCGACTCCTGGAGCCATCCTGGTTCCTACCCTCAGATTCGGAACTTGACCGCTGGTCGGCACTTTGTCTATAGGATATTTCCATTCATTTTTCCTAGGAAGCGTGGTGAAAGCGGCATGCTGGAAAAAATGCTCGGCGCCGTCTTTTCATCGAGATGTCGTGTTTTTAAGGATGCTTCGGCCACCATCTTAATCCGTTCATAGTCAAATGAAGCGACGCAATACTGCCATGCCAAGAAAGAACGCCGTATGAACATTCGGACGTTGCCCAATTTCCTCTGATATAATAAGAATTTTCCGGCAAACTTGTGAGCAATTTTCTTGCAAATTTTCAGGGAATCGAATACACAGTTTTGTTTGATAGGTCTGATAGGGTACCAATCGAAAAAATATTCATAATTTTACGTAGGTATATAGCAAAATATCGTATAAGAGAAAATTCGGCAACATTCGAACTTTCATGAGGCTTTTTTCCTAAGTACGGCAAAATCTTTGCCACAAGTCACAGTATATGCTCAAAAAAAATATAAGGATATCGATTGAAGTCAACTTAGTATGTGACTATCAAGACGATCGCCAGCCCCTCTGGTCGCCAGGCGTACCTACCGCTCAGCGCTGGGTGCGGCACGGCGCCGCGCGGCATCGCACTGCGTCATGTTTCGGCTCCTCTCCCACCCCACTCATTGTCCGAATCCTTACTTCAAGAGGACCAATTGAAAGGAAATTGTGTTCCCTACAAAGTTTCTAATAAACAAAAAGTTCATAGTTGCAGTTAGAAAAAAGTTATCACGCTCTTTGTGAAAAAGAGGCAATTCGATTTCTAAAAATTTGCGAATTTTTTCAAAATTTTCAGCTTTCCGTGGAATAATTTGCATGATTATTAAAAATTTCTTAAAGAACATATCAAGACGGACATTTTAAAAAAAATTAGAGGTGTCTAGCTACATTAGGGTCTGAGTTATAGCGCTTTGAATCGGAGGGGGATTTTTCAACTTTGAGGGGGGCTAGCAAAAATCCCTAGGGGGGTAGGGATGGGGACTTTTGGGAAAATGGTCCTCTCAATGAGTACTATCAATGGGGGGAAAAATTAGCTTGTTACTAATTTGTTCATCAAACCCCCTCTTTTTTCCCTTCGTTTACTGGACTATATCTCGGTTTCTGTTTGTTCGAGTCTTGTGAAACGCGGTATTATGTGGTGTTTTTCAACGGGAAACTCGAATTTTTAGTCAATTTTTTAAAATTGTCAACTCCAAGTTGTTGGATGTGGCCTAAAATTCTACCTCTGTTTCTGTTCGTTATAGAGCTTTGTGAACCGCGGGAGATTTCAAAACCATTTTTGGGCGGTAATATTTACAATTTTAAATAAAAATGTCAAATTTAGTCTCTGAAGTATCAATGTAATGAGCATTGTGAATGTTTTTACTTGCACCGTATGAATATTAAAATTGAGGGGCTTGGAGAACAAGGCGCATAAATACATTTTTCACTATTTCGAGAAATACGTGCCTGAAGTTTACAAAATTACATGAATCCTTACGGCGGAAGGAAAGTTTAAACTGACTTTTTTATGTTTAAAAATCGGAATCTGGGGGCTAATCTCTCACAGAATATGCACCAAGACTAGCTTCACTTGAAACAATTAAAGTCTCAGTTTTTCCAAAAACAGCACTTATGCGCCTTGACAGTGGCGTGGCGTGATATGCGATGTATCGATTGTTATGCCTATTTAAACCTATCGTAAGGAATCGATTATTAAGGTGTTCGCTGCGAACACCCTGATTATCGATCCTTTTCCATAGGTTTAAATGACATAACAATTGATACATCGCAAAGCACGCCTTGAGTATGCGCCTTGTCCTCCAAGCCCCTCAATTGTAAGAGCACTCGGTGATCTAGAACGGGGTAGAGTCCCTTTATACTGAGAGTCAAGACAATTTGAATCCATTTCTGATTGGTTCCCGTATTTTAGGCCTCCACAGTGTCACAAACGGGAATAAAGATTACATTTTCACCAATTGCAAAGATTATAATCTGGAATGGACCAGGGAATTACGGGTTCGGCAAGGAACAAACGGAATGAGAGGAGGAACGGAGAAAGGCATTTGAGAATGGGCCGATCAAAGATTACGAAAAACGTTCAATTTCTGTAATCTTTATTCCCGTTTGAGACATCCATGAGCCGAATTGTCTTGACTCTCAGTATAAAGGGACTCTAGAACGGAGAAATATCTCCGTTCCGAAAAATGGAGTCTAACGTCTTCTAATGCATTCATTTGGCATGAAAGATAAATATGCAAACGCTCCGAGTTGAGGAAAACTGTCGGTGATGAAGGAAATCGAAGCAGATAATGGAGCTGAAACTCCTCAGAATCCATCTCAATCTACGGCGACGGAGATGATCCTCGGATTGTGGCAGTTGCTACGGAGAAGCTGGAATGAAAAACAGTCGCCCGCTTTCCACCCAGCTCCGTTCCTAATTCGTGCTTTAAATCTTAAGCGACTCTTAATGCCCCATTTCCCTGCCTTCTAGCTTAAGAGAAAGTCAAACTCCATCATTGTCTTCTCTGCGCAGTCCTTTTTTCTCAGACGAGTGAGTAAATGAATTACAATGAATTCGTCATCGAGCGAGGACAAAGATAGTTCAGAATTCAAGAGATCTGATCTGCCCTTTATACGTATCAGGGTTAAGAATGCAGGTTTATTGAACTGCCTAAAACTCAATGATAAAAAAAAAAAAAAAAAAAAAAAAAAAAAAAAAAAAAAAAAAAAAAAAAAAAAAAANAAAAAAAAAAAAAAAAAAAAAAAATCAAGGAAATACACAATATTTTCATTCATTTGTGATTATGGACCACTAGACAAGGTACGAATTTAAGCAGTCTGATACATGTTTCTTAATTAGAATTTCACGTAGAACACGATTCTTGAATTGAAAGTTCAACTCCTAACTAAGACATTAACTTTTTTTTATTTTACATTGGTTACGGAAATTTTGAATTGCCCGGCCACAAGAAACGCAATTCTCTACCTGAGTGAAATCGCGCCTCACACCAGTTTTGGCGGGCTTCTCAATCAAGCATTGTCCCTTTCCCTCTCTTTATCGTTCAAAGTGTGAACACTTGGTCTAACTAATCCAAAGCGTCAAGATTGAGGTTGTCATATTTTCATATCGCATAGCTTGTCATTGTGAAGTTTAGTGTACGATTTGACTCAAGTAGACTATTGTGTTTTCATGAGCGGGAGCTGGATACATCCGAATTGCGTCCCGAGCTCTAATCCGAATGGACCACTAGACAAGGTACGAATTTAAGCAATCTGATACATGTTTTCTAACCAGAATTTCACGTAGAACATGATTCGCAAAACGAAAATTACTGAAACCAACTCCTAAAGAAGATATTAACGTTTTTATTTTACATTGGTTACGAAGAATTTGAACTGCCCGCTCACAAGAAACTCAAAGCTCTACGTGGGTCAAATGCGCACTACAACGGTTTCAGCAAGCTTCTCAATCGAGCAATGTTCATTTCCCACCATGTGTTGTTCAAACTATTAGCAATTTGCTATAGCTGAGCCAAAGCGTCAAGATTGAGGTTGCCAGATTTTTATATCGCAGAGACTGTCATGATAACGTTTAGCGTGCGATTTGAGTCACGTAGAGCATTGAGTTTTCATGAGCGGGTGGTTTGAATTTACGCATCAAGAATAATTAAATATCTTCGTAAGGAGCTATTTTCAGTAATTTTCGTTGTGCGTATCGCGTTCTACGTGAAATTTTGGTTAAGAAACAAGTATCAGAATGCTGAAATTCGTACCTTGTCTAGTGGTCCATTGCGTCCGGTGCATTTATCGGGAAGGTGGCAACACCGCATATGAAAGGCAATGTCAATCGACGATTTTATCACTTGAAGGTACGGGTCGAAGTGCAAAATTAGCAAAAATTTACTCAGCAAAAAAATCGCTTGAACGCTAGAAAAAGCGGTCTGAATTCACGCGTCAAGAAACATTAAATATCTTAGTTAGGAGTTAATTTCAGTAATTTTCGTTGCGCAAATCGTGTTCAACGTGAAATTTTGGTCAGAAAGTATGTATCCGAATTTTTAACTTCGTACTTGTCTACTGGTCCATTATGGTATCGGATTCCATGCGCGGAGGACTTTTAGGTTCTTTTATTAAACATGAAAGATTTCGGTGAAGAATAAATTTTTTTTTTTTTTTTGCTTTGCGGAATTAGGTATTATCTAGGTGTGCCTTCGGATGATCCAGCACAACTGCACCTGTACTCGGTGGAGACGGAGGCGCCAATCACGGGTGGGCCAATCGCAAAACCGATTTGCCTGACGTGTCCAGCCAGTCCGAACGCACCACCCGTCATCCATTACGAGGGCGCATCCACGACCAGCGCCAAATCAGGATCCGATCCCTCGAAAATGTTCTACGACGCCGAGGAGGAGGTCCAAGAACAGGCGCCTACCAATGAACCCTCTACGAAAAAGAAAAGGAAAAAAAGTACGTGTATGTGTAAGTAACATCCAAAGTAGGAGCCGTTCGTAATATGCGTAACGCTCCAAAGCGGGAGGGAGGGCTGAGCCTGGATCACGGGTACCAAAGGCGGATCCAGGAGGGAAGGGAGGCATAATAGATGTACAACGTCCTCTTTTTGTCCGATAAAAGGAGGAGGGAAGAAAGGAACGGAGGGAAGAAAGGAACGGAGGGAAGAAAGGAACGGAGGGAAGAAAGGAACGGAGGGAAGAAAGGAACGGAGGGAATAAAAGAACGGAGGGAAGAAAGGAACGGAGGGAATAAAAGGACGGAGGGAAGAAAGGAACGGAGGGAAGAAAGGAATGGAGGGAATAAAAGAACGGAGGGAAGAAAGGAATGGAGGGAAGAAAGGAATGGAGGGAAGAAAGGAACGGAGGGAAGAAAGGAACGGAGGTAAGAAGAAGGAAGGACGCGTACATTTGGATTGCATTTTGCAAAAAGGAACCAAGAGCATTCCAATGTTGCTATGATATGCAACTTACATTCTTTGCAATAAAATCACTGAAATCCTGCAAAAAATTAAATTTACAAAGGTTATGTTCATCTTGAATTCACAATTTATTGGGAGTAAAGATAAGAATTGTTTAGACGATCAGTTAAAATTCGCAAGGTAAAAAAAAAGTTGCACAATCTTAGCTACAACGGAATGTTCTTGGTTCCTTTTTGCAAAATGCAATCCATTCGGTCTCTACTTATGACAAAATTTACTTAAAATGCATATCCGATGCTTTAATATTTCGAAAATTTTTGGGGGAAGCCCCCCGAACCCCTCCTTCGCCCTCCGTTTGAAGTGTTTACATCTACCTACGACGGGTGCGTTACAAGGAGGGGAGTGGTTAGGACTGCGTTACGTATAACGCTAGAAGAGACGTGTAAGGCGTGTCACTGATTTTTTAAAAATCTACGATGAAAAATGAACGTGAGGTGTCAATTTTTCAATAAAAAAATCTCGTCTCTCTCTTAATGTTATCATTGCGCGAGGACCAGATTGGGAATTTTCAATTTTCGTTAATATGAACACAAAATCAGTTTGGATACATCACATGTGGTCTGATTATTTCTCATATTTTATATTTTTTGAGGGAAAATTGATCAAAGTTCTGGCTTGAATTTTGAACGATGATGACATTCTACCTTTCTTCCGTGCTAAGGAAATTTGCCGTACGAACGCATTTTCTCAGATAAAATGTTTATTTTATGAGGAGAGATATTTGTAGGAATATTTTCACTTGCAATTTCCTAATATTTTATATCTGACCGCGAATAAACTTCTGTAAAAAAATTCAAAGAAAAATAGCATCAGATTTCCCTGAAAATTCATATTTTATCAAAGGAAATTTGGCAAATTCTGAAGACCCATGCGGCGTTCTTCTACAGCACGGCCGTTCTGTTTTGATCGATATCTAATTCATGAGGATTTGTTTCAGCAGGCGAGGAACGAGAGAAACTGGAGGAGCTTTACAAGCCCTGCACGTACCACAATGTTGTTTTCAGTCCTGACCTATCGCACTATGTTCTCGAGTGCCTAGGCCCTGGTATTCCAACTGTGAGTTTGTACGCCACAAACCCCAATGGCAAACCACGTCTTCTCACAATCTTGCAGAATAATACAAAGCTCCATGTAAGTGCAAATTGATCGGGATAAAGAGGGGAGAGCCAAATAGCATAATATAAAAACTGATTCACCCGTGATTTTTTCATCTATTCCATAAGTTTGAAATTGATACTTATTTAAGTCCCATGAAATGGCCGCAGTTGAAACTCTCACGCGGTTATGTTGTATGATTTCTCTGCGCAGAATATAACGTGTTATATGCAAACTTTAAAACCTCATGTCTTTAAACTTTCAACTCTCAAACATAATATACATGCATAGGTACGCCTTCGCTTTGAGTTTGATACACAGCATTCTCTGTGGGCCTATTTAATTGTTTGTAGTTGTGTTCTTCAGTTAAACTGGTCTGATCGTAAACAAAAAGGCCACAGACAATGCTCCTGGAGGAAAGAATTTCGAAAATCGTGTCCCAAGTGAAACACTCATAACTCCATGGGCAAGATGTCTATATACAGATGTCGCCTGGCACAGGCGGCTCTTTCGCGGTGCTGGGTGCGCTGGTTACCGAGCAGTGATCCCTTTTATGATCGTCAAAAATGTTTGTAGTTGATATTCTATGACGAATGATTCTTAGGAATGTTTATATTTATTGATGTGTAATATTTCCAGGAGAGGGTATCGAAAATAGCGCTGCCGCAAGTCAAAACGTTTCCTGTTCAAATTTCTGGTGGCTATCAGGCACACGTTCGGCTGCACTTCCCACCAGGTTTGAAAGAGGAGGAAATCACCCGCTATCCCCTTGTTCTGCACGTGTGAGTATTTCATTGACTCAAGCACCAAAAACTCTGTAATACTCATGGAGCATACTGACAAGTCTAAGAAGAGGAAGAAAAGTCACAATTTTTCCAGCCACATCGTTCATAGACTTCTAGTTATATTTTATCATGCTCTTCCTTCAATGACCAGCAGAGAAAGAGTTCAAATTATACCATCATCTTGTCCAAATTGATTTAGATATTATGAGATAAAAAAAGCACACACACATAAACTCAAATAATTCAATCGCAATAAACTAAAATATTGGTAACAACATTTAACTGAAACATTTAAAATTCAATTCTGTTGCACGAGATTAATTGATTTTATGTTTTTTTTATTCTAAAATCAAATGTGTTACTTTATTTTCACAAATTGCGCATCTTTTAGCCATGACAGATGACTTGCTTCCAGCATGAAAGTAGAGTTATTCGTTCTTTTTCGATCCGTTACATCCATGAAAAACAGTATATCATGTAAAAACTTCCATACATACTTCCTTTATCTAGTTGAATAATATTTTTGTTGGTGTTTAGTTACGGTGGACCAGGCACTCAACTTGTGACTGACATTTGGAAAATAGACTGGGATACATACTTATCTAGCACTAGAGATTATATTGTCGCTCAAATCGATGGCAGAGGTGCCTCAGGCCAAGGTTATCAGAAATTGCATCAAGTCTACAAGCGCCTTGGATCAGTGGAAGTTGCAGATCAACTAGAGGTTACAGAGTGAGTGTTAACATTTTTCAAACACCATCCAAATTGTCAGCTAAGAAGATTGATTCTGTATAAAAATTAAAATAGAAGAAAAGAATAGCACAGTATGCTGATGTAAGCCCTTAAACTTTCAGGGACTCTAATCAGCACCCTAAGGGCCCGAAGGGAGGGGAGAGGCTTTGAGTCGATGAAATTTGGATTCTTTGGGGTCTATTCCCTGTATTCTGTTTTGCGGCTCTAAGATCCGCTGCTAAGGTCTAGCATCAGGGGAGATGACAATAGTGTACTTGTCTCCGAAAATACACGAAAAATGCAACGTCGCGAACCCGGTTCTTTTAAGAATGTACTTTATGATGAAAAGACATACTATACGTGCGTGAATAAACTAATTACGAACCGAATAATTTTATTTTGTCGAAAATATATTCAAGCGTTTCATTTAGTTTTAATTTTTGGACTGTAAATGTGCGAATATAATCCTTCAAAAACTAGGTAGCCCGTTTCAGATTAGGACGACGTGTAACGTTTCTAACTTTAGGTTTATTTCCTGAACTCCTTTGAATCGGGATCCTTCTGACCTCTAGTTAACCCACAATCTACTTTTCAGATACCTACGAGACAATCTACACGTCATAGACAAGAGACGAGTGGCCGTCTGGGGTTGGAGCTATGGTGGCTTTGTATCGGCCATGCTGTTATCCACACCAAATCAAGATGTCTTCCACTGTGGAATTGCTGTTGCCCCTGTTACTTCTTGGAGACTTTACGGTACGGAGAGATTATCTTTTAAGAATGATACAGAGTTTACATATTAATTTCTTTGAAACATAAATTAACCGAATTACTTCTCTTGTTAACGAGGGATGAGATAAAATGACATGTAGGTTGAGGTTTATCATGATACTGATTTAAATTGAGATGAGAAGCTACAGCATTACTGAGGGAGAAAATTTAATTTCCGTCAAATCCTCTCCAGTGGACGGCAACACATGTACGTGTACCTCTTCAAAAGAGGGCCATACACAGTACACGTTTTTTAATGTTAAAATCTCCCTTCACAATTTATTCACATTATTTTATATTTATACTATAATTAGTTGGAAGTTCTAAAACGTTTTAAGTCGTTAAAATTGAGAATTGATATTATCTGTTGCTCCCTACACTATACTCTCAAAATCTATGTATCCCAAATTTTGTAGGTTATACCTGTCGATATCTACCTCTGCTTTAAGAAACAAATCCTAAGGATTCAACCGGAGTAGTCTAAATTCATTTCTCGTTTCAATTTTCCATTCACGCTTTGTTTTTTCACAGAAAGCTAAACAAGAAAACACCTTGAAAATATCTGTGATTATTCCTTAAATTATGAAAAATATACTAACGAGAAATCGGTTAAAAATGTTGCCTAGTTTTCTGTTTAAAAACATCAAAATTGAGAGAAAAGTAGATACGCTTTATGCACAAGGCTGAATCTGATAAAATTTGTCAAACGCATTTGTCAAGTTGTCACCCCATGTCTAAAAATCCGTGCAATGCAGGTCTGAGATATGCTCTCTACTATACCGTGCTAAGGAAAAACGTCATATTATTATGAAGCCTCTGGCGTTTCCAATTTTTCTTTGATAAAACACGAATTTCCTGGTAAACTTATGAACGAACTCCTTTCCAATTTTTCAGATAATTTTGCGCAATTTCACCTAAAGTCCCTGAAAATTTCAAGGAAAAATATTCATATCTCTCTTCAAAAACAAACATTTAATCGAAGGAAAGTTGGCATCTCTCGAATGTTCATACACGGCGTTTTTCCTTAGCACGGCAGTCTACTTCTCTACTCCGCGTTAAAGGCCCCGAAGAATCCATTCTATAAAGCTATACCTAACTTAGATTCTTTACTTTGAACTTTAAATGAAACTTTTATTTTATATACTAAAAATTGTACTTATTTGTTTTAACCTTGCTGTTCATTGCAGACTCAGCGTACACGGAGCGATTCATGGGTGTGCCGAATGTGACAGGAAACTACAAAGGTTACGAGGAAAGTGACCTGTCACGACGAGTGGAAGGATTCAGAGACAAAATGTTATTCCTAGTCCACGGAACCGCTGATGACAATGTTCATCTGCAACAAAGCATGATCCTAGCTAGAGCATTATCAAACGCTGGCGTGCTTTATAGACAGCAGGTAAATTGTTTTGGATCTTTGTTGCCTACTCTCTATTCACCCACCAGTTTCTTCAGCCGTTTGTAACAAAAATGCCTAAATTTTCCGCAGGAACAATAATTTCAAACCTTTGATACGCTTATAACTTGATCATACAATTTCAAGCATTTTCGCTCTTCGTGAAATCGTATCCTTATATGGAATCTTCGCTTCATTCACATGTTTTTCTAAAAAAAAGCTAGTTCTTTATAGCAGTAAGATCTGAATATCTATCAGGCCGATCCTCACTTTTTTTTTTTTTTTTTTTTTTTTTTTTTTTTTTTTTTTTTTTTTTTTTTTTTTTGGAGAGTAGCGACGCATCTTAGGATTTGATGAAATTTAAGATTCCTTGATTTTTTTTCTCTCTCTCTCTCTCTCTCTCTTTATGAAAGTTTCGTTTACATACATAGGCCGAAATAGGTTAAAATAAAAGAGCAGAGGAACTTATATTGAAGTATAATTACATGAAGTAGTCTTCCTGAGTGTTAGTGATGAAAAAAATTTAGAGTGATTCGATCTAATAGCTTGTTATCAATTGTTACCATCAATGAAATCTGTTACCTTGTTTGAAATTTAAATTATGGCCTTTGTGATATCGATTTTGTGACCCTTACGATAAAGCGTTTGCTTCGAAAAGCTTCGGTCCAAGTTTGTTAATAAAATGTGAGCTTTTTAAAGAAATTTTACATTATTTATAGCACTTGGCTACACTCCCAATTCCAAAAAAAATTATTCATAATTAAACTACAAGAACATTTAGAGTTAAATGTAAATGGTGTTCATTTATGTTTGTAGATCTACCCCGACGAAGCGCATACGTTGAGTGGTGCCAAACGTCATCTCTACCGGAGTATGGCCAATTTCTTCGATGACTGTTTTCGCAAGCAAGTGCCACCCGACTTCAAGGCGGGACTTCGTAACGGAGGCGGATCCACGTTTGTAGACCATTAGTGATCTCGATTCATTCCTCTCTTTATATTTCAATTTTTCTACTCTGAATTTATCGTAGATTCCAAAGTTATAATTTCTGCGTTGTGAAACACTGAACAGTGTTCGGTCAATCAATTATCATTCCGATAAGAAACTTCTTTATCATAGTTTTATATCGTTAAGTCTTCTCGAAGTGCAAATTATTTACGATATGTACTGAGCAATACTAATTCTATTTCTATCTTTCCCGCTTCAAATTTAAGATCAAAATCAACCTCAAGGTAGACGAACGGAAAAAAATTATTCAAACTTTGGAGCCTCATTTCCAACCGAAAAATGTTTCAAGAGAGGGAAAGGATATAAATTTCCTGTTTTGTTTGAAGAAAACAGCGAGCGTAATTTGTAAGTTTTTGAGCGCGTTCCTGAATAGTGAGCCCTATAACACCACAAGCTGAAATGCATGTGTGCTAATTTTGTCTCATTCAATTTTCGCTCTTAGTCTATTTTTCATGGGTGCGTGCTTCAAAGTGAGCATGCCTAGGTGTCTGATGATGTTTCAATCATATGGGGATAAAAAGTGAATCAGTAAAGAATGGTCATTGAGGTTCTCTAGACTTGTTTTCAGAAAAATGCAGGTGAATTCAGAAAGTTACAAGGCATGTTAAAATGTAAGATTGATCCGTCGCACGTGCTGAAAATCTCATTTTGATGGCTCATATGCTAGGTTAATTAGAAATTTGTAAAGAAACTCTAAACGTGCACGTCTAAAGTTCATTGAATATTCGCTTTTTGAAACAACTGTAATCGGTGTTTTGCCTTATTTCTCATAAAGTGGCAATCCTTTTTGATTTGGATCGAAGAAATTTGGTACCAAGACAAACATTCTACGGGTATGATCATTGAAACACGATCTTATAGATACAGTGACGATTCTTGCAATTTGGCAGCATTATTTTTCATCAGTTAAATCCATCATAAAGAGCGATTTTAGGGTGAAGTAGTGTGCCTCACCAAAAATTAATTGTTTCACTTGCATTTAAATGGAGCAAAAACAGTGTTGCCAATTTGCAAAAATCATCATAGGACTATATGATGGGGGAACCCTCGCTGAAATATCTGCGAGCTACCTTTTCAGGTAATTAGTAACTCAAATGCAACAAATGCTACATAATCGTAATATCTTCATCATTGAAAGATACCCTCTGCTGCTGACCATAGGCTGATCAGGGGAGCTTTAAATGTTTGTTTAAAGCTTTGGCGGTTAGAGAGTTAAAAAGTTAATATCATCAATCGCTTCTCTCAGAATTTTTTTGTGAAAAGACGTAATTATGTCTCAAATACGGATTGCCACGAAACATTTCTATTAGACTTGCTCTGAAATCGAGGTGTACGAATCAAATCACTCAGATAAACGGTATTACTCAAATAGAGTTATAATCAATAAACGAGAATGCAAATGCGTTTATGAGAAGACTTAGGAAGTACCTTTGAGAAGTCTTGACGAACAAGCAGCCCTCCTCATTAATTACTTCCTTTTATATCAAATGACGTTTAAATAGTGAATGATAGTTTGGATTTAATAATCCGTAGTTCGCCTCATTTCAAGTGTTCCACATTGTGAGTTAGCAGTGATAATGTGCGTAGAGTTTAACATAGGCCTGCGCTACATTCACATGTTGCCAGAGATACTCACGGCATACGGCACTTCTTCTTTTAATGTCCCCATCGATGTGGACTAATGAGACTTAAATCCGGACTATTCTTCCTAGATTGTTTAAATTTTCAAATAAAGTTATTTATATTTTTATTACTTTAATTTTGAAATCTAAGTACTTCCTCTGACATTAATTAGTGAAAATCATTATGAACTGTTTGGTTTATCAAATTAATAGTTCTTAAACTTGTGATACAGCTTCAATTTTCTTTCATTTTATTTTTCATAGTTTTGAAGATTTAGTATAGGTGTTTAAAGCGTTAATTATAGTTCAGTTGATGATTATTAGTCATTAAAACTCTTACCCAAAATATCATCCATTGAGAAACGTTTAGGGTCCTTATCCCTAGAATAGGATACAAGTAGCCCCGAACACTTTAACTTACTTTGCCTTCAAAATCCTAGTATTAAATCTTATTATTATAGGTAGTCTAAATTTTAAAATAACTAATATTTTCTTAAACATTAGCGTTGTTAATTTCTTTGAAGATGATCCTTGCATGGAACTGACTCGACTTCACTTTTTTATGGGTATTTGTCTCAATTTGTTTTTATTTAAATGAACACACTCGATATAGGTATCAATTCTCTCTAAGTTTGCCTCCAGATATATTTAAACCCCTTTAACTCGAATATCCTTTTCCCCTAAAATAGAAAGCTGCATATCACAGTGGAGAATGAATTAGTAATTTTTTTACGTTCATTACATGCTTCAGGTAGTCGTCAGAAAAAAATATTGAGGAGTAAACTGGGAAACTCGCTAGGTTGAAGTTGTAAGTAGTGTAAAGCCTTTGTAACCTGCGCTTACATGTCCAAAGGAACACACATTTTATTCTTGCCATCGAAAGTTTCATGGACCCGCGTGTTTTGAATCATGTTACCACTGATAAACGGAATAACTTGAGGCCATTGCATACATTTAGGCATACATTGTTTACAAGTTAGGCATACATGTGTTACAAGTTTCTTTCATCATTGAGTGGTTGTTTTTTTATATCGTTGCGTTAAAGTCACCAGGAATATGCGGCAGCTGTTGTCGCTGGTTCTCACGGTGCGGTGGTCCGGTTACGCTGCGGACAAGACCTAACGAATTAGTAATCTTGTGCTGGCCTACCAATATTTGACTTTGAGACCTCTGCATAGTCTCTGCATCGGTGGAAACGCCGAAATGCTTACGCAACTGTACGTGTTTAGCAGATATCTGTTTTGCAGTTTTACAAATTGAAGGCTTTATCCTTTAGCACGTGGCATCACAAATAGGTTCCTAACAAGATGATGATTTGAGGGCAAAAGAATAGTTCTCTAAAATGTTTCTATAATTTACTACTTGAAAACTTAAAAAAACTAAATGATGAATCAGCTATCATTTTATGGCGAAACATTAAAATACTACGGAATTTCTGACGATAGCCGAAGATGAGGCTTGTAAGTAAAACAAACGGCAAGTGAGTGTTTCCTTTTGGTTTCTTCTTGTTTGCCTCCTCAATAATTTCTACCACTTATTTTTTCTGATATCTCTCAGTGGCGAGGCGTGAATGATTGACTATCGATATTTCCCCATTTAAAGCTGTGGCAAAGAATCGACCATTAAGGTGTTCGTTGCGAACACCCTGTTTATCGACCTTTTTCCATAGGTTAAATAGTAGATCAATCGATGTATCGCGAAGCACGCCTTGCCACTGATATCTCTGAATCTTTGTGCTCTTTGTCATCATTTCAAAAATTCACGAGACGTTATCTAGCGGTGAGGCAACACTGCAACAGTATTCCCCTTAATGAATACTATATACATTTACACATAATAATTGAAACTGCAATTATGCAAGCCAATGTAAATAAATTCGTGAGTACAGAGTAAGGCCACTAATTGTAAATATAGTCAGTATATGTTGGAGGGCCTTTCTAAAAACTTTATCACACCAAGTGAAATTTTAATTATCGCTCACTCATAAATTTCTTCCCTCACAGTTTAAAATCCAAAAATGAACAAATACAACTAACACATTGAAATCAACTGGCTACATGACACCTCAATAATATGTAAAGTGCACGAAAAAGTCATGATGCACATGTTCTCCCCAGGTCACAAAGTTGAATACACGTAACAAGCAAGAATCGAGCAAGCAGATACCCACATTTTTTAATCATTGACTCGGAAATAACTAATATTGTTGGTGGATGCTCAATTATGTTGTTAAAGTTGTTACTCTTAACATCACCTGTTACAATTCTTGGTCTCGATGAATGATTTTTATAGAAAAAAGAAAGAAATATTTTGTGCTTCAAAATGCATTCATGTTCCTTTAAAATGTCGTAGATACTTTACGACTTTTACAACTCTCAAGACACGGGTCAATGAATTAACAGTCTATTCATTGAAATAATGAAAGAAGCATAGGTACAGAGCACTATAAATGATTCTCTTTCAGTCACCAATTCCTCAAAACTATGAGTGATAATTTACCTTAAAAGACTTTATTACAATGCTGTAATAGGTGCCACATTCGGCGAGAATGCTGGAATAGAAGTATTTTAGTGATGACAACTATTATTTTTAAGAATGATAGAATATGTGATATAGATTTTACTTACCTTCTGCTAGTTGATTATGAATGCAATAATGTCTTATGTATGGCTAATTTTCTTCTCACTTCAAAATAAAGTTATTTTATCTTCTTTTATAATTATTCAGTCTCAATTTTTTGCTGAAAGCCGTCCCTGTGCATTTGTTTATCTATTATAGGCATAAAATTGCGATACGAAAAGAAACGGTTTTCGACCCAAATGCACCAACCCAATTCTCCTCTTCCTTTTAACTTTCCTCTTTTTAAAATAATTTTTGATGACTTTCCACAAAAAATTCAGTGGCAGCAGAAACGCTAGTTTCTAGTATGCTGTTTCATTCCTAGTGAGACCTGGTGTCAATTTGCTTTGAGGAGCTGATAAATATGATTCACTTTACTTCAGTTTTTATTCTTGCTAAATAAAGGGAAGAAAATCGTGAAGTTTCCCGGACTGTGACCGTTCACATAAAACCGAGCGTTAATTAGTGCCGAATTATGTTGCAATAAATGCCCCGTATGTGTTGGTACGAGAATTAACTAAAAGTTGTCTTCGGCTCATTCTTGATGATGTTAGAGAGAGTTTTCCTTTGAAATTTTAAAACGACATTTTTTGACAAAATAAGATAAAAACGCTGTTTTGAAAGTTATCCCTCCTTACACTATGGTGCTTTTCGTCGACGACAATTATTACAATACCGAATTAGTCATCTATAATGAATATCGATATCCTCAGTATCATGCAGTTAATGCTAATTGCTAGCATCGATGTTATAAGGGTGGTGAGTTTAGCCTTAGTGCTTCTGTGGCTGAGAAAATCCCCAAAAATAGCTCAATGTATTCATCCTTCAAAAAAAGAGAGAGAAAAAAAATTTAAAAGAAATAAGAGCGAGAGGAAATACAAAATCAATCCTAGTAGACTTTTCAGAAAATTCCTTAATCCTCGCACGAAGCAACCACTATAATACTCGACGAGGATAATTCATCAGCATACACAAAATATGACGTTAAAAAAAGTTGATTGGCTCCAAAATGCTGAATTTTTTTCTTAGCTTCAGAAAGTTGATCGCCTATAAACATACTCAGCTCTTCAGTAAAAAACTTTCTCGTGATAATGGGTACTATGTACGAAATTTCGTCTAGAGAAACACAGGAGTGGCAAGTGAAATACATTGCGTTCTTATTTACTTGTATTATATTCTCATATTCCCACAAATATATGAGCTTCGTATATGTGGTGTTCATGCGAATGTAGTATAAATTGCCCCGAAAAAAAAAAATTAAATTTGTAGACTTGGGTTACATTGATAGAATAATTTTTTAATATTTAATGAACTTTTCTGTGACAGAGAATAGAAACATGAATGATGATTATTGAAAATATCAAGAAAATTATGAAAAATCAAAAATAAATATTTAATAGTCAATAGTCAATAAGTAAAAATTAAATGAAACTGATCACTGCGTTGAGGATGAGTTAACCCTAAAAAAGTAAACAAAGAAACGCATAATGCGAAGGTATATACAAAAATATTAAGGAGTAAAATTATACAATATTCATGGGTAGGTACATACAGAGTAAATAGACTACCTATTCACAAACATGCTTCTTAACAAAAATTAAGCTATCACATTTATACTGTTGATTACATATTTACAGCTACTAGTGTAGTATTTACGAAAACATGGCATACTACCAGATTTCCGACTGATGACAATAATAAGTATACAGATAACAGAGGGTAGTTAAAAAAATAAATTCTTCCTGGGTCTAATCTAGAGATACCTATGATTTGGTCAACATTTTAGAAAGCACGAGAACTATCCTCCGTTTATTTAAATGTATTATAAATTCTGTATTCTCGCTTGTAAGTGAGTAAAATTACCGATAATGAGCAAGATTCTATGAGAAACTTCTTGAGATATCAGAGAAATTTATCAGAGACAACGGTGCGGCTTGATGCCTCCTTTAGGATTAGGGTAGCAGCAAGGGTTGTGCTGATCAGGAGGGAGGGGGGGGGGCTTTCTTGTGACAAGTCAGTCTCAAGAACGAATACAGTCATGAAATTATTCTGATTTGCTTATGATTTGGTTGATATACGAGTATTAGCTCTAAGTATTACAGGCACTGTACTTAATTCATGGTGAATACAAAATTACATTGGAGGAATATCTTGTACTGGTGCTAGTCGTTAAAACCCTCAATTTGAGGAAATATTGGGCAAGCTGCAAATATTTTTAGCTCTTTTTAATTATTAAAATGTACTCTCTTTGAGTCCATTGGAGCACTGGGCAGTGTCAAAGTGATCACGCACTGCAGTTGATCAATTATCAATCATATTACTTAACGTAAATTCCTACCTAACGAAAGACTTTTATATCTGCTTATCAATTTATTAGGAGTGTCATTTGAAGTTGGTCAGTTAAGTCGGATAACTGGAAAGAATAATTGAAATCCTCGAGGATGAGGTAAGTGGAGACTTAAAGTGAGTCATACATGGGAAAAAGTAAACTTTAGATAAAAATAAGCATATTCTTACACTTCACGAGAATGATCTACTTCGTGAAAGTTATTATTTTTAAGACCGACAAACATTTCTTACTGCGGCATGTAAATTTGGAAAACATAAATTAATATTTAAAAAAAGCTAAAATATGAATCGGAGATCACGAGTTTAGTCCTCATGAATTATTATTTTTATTATCATTGCTTATTGTCAGTTCTTTGACTCAGAATTATTCAATCAAAACTTACATTGCATATAGAGATCATACAGCCCAATGAATTAAAAGATGATCCATCTCTGAAAGAGAAGAAGATAATAAGACACAAAATGCGAGAAAAAATTTAAGCAGTAATAAATAATAATTAGAATCATCAATATTTTACTGCGCAACGTGGCTCAACATGTCGTTATTTACCGATTTCTTTCGAGAAGCAAAAAAGTGCGACCTAATTTTTTCATAATTCTCATTTCTCCGGCATACATGGACAGTGCTAATTTTTCCGCTTATAGTCGGAAAGCGGTGGTAAAAATGGTCACACAAGAAGGGACTCGTAAGAAAAAATGAGGGCCCATAAGAAATATTTCAAATACACCAATGCTAAGTGACTTCAATTTATTCATATCCTTTCTTAATAATGGAGAACTCTCACTTCCACCAAAACAAGTTCCCTTACCTATATAAAGACAAGGCTCTTGATATCAACTTCATCCGTGTAAGTTATTCAATTTTTGGTCAATTTCTTGAAGACTATCAATTCTCATGACCACATCTCACAGAGTACCAGTTTCTAATTACAAAAAAAGTCTTTGTCTTTTCATCTTTATTAAAGAAGTATTTTCAGTGCGACAAAATTAAAGGAAGAAGTTATATAACTGCTTTCGAAGAGATAGAAAGATATTAAAAGTACAAAAATAGTTTTTACATAGCTGGATAGCTGATGCAACAACTCAATTATTTGGTATACTACTCAGTGAAACAGCCAGTTTTTGGTCCCTCTGAAAAATTCGAAAGACATTTTTTCTAAATTACCGGTAGAAAAAATAAATTCTTGCATAACTGCCTCAATGACGTTTTTTACTGTTCTTTCAGACTCTTATCATCTGGATTCTTCACGGTCCTTTCAAGACGACAGGTATTTGTAAAGAGGACTGTTGGGGGGCTGAGCCTACAGTCATCATGATAAGAAAAATCAATTTTTTGTCATTATTTGCGACGAAAAAATCCAATTACAAAATGCCAATGAATTAAGTAAAAGAGCATCTTCATTGGCATTCAGTCATTCGTAACAATTTGCATTTGTTGTTGCATTGTTATTTTTTTAAATTTGTTATTGAAAAATAAAATAATATCTTTTAATAACAGAGTATAATTAAAAATACTTTTCAAGTGGTGAAAAACATCTTCAGAGAATTTTGAGAAATAGTTCTCGATAGCTTTAAAGGATAACGTCATAAACATGTTAGAACATTTTGAAACAAGGCATGTTTACAATTTTGAGTGAACAAGGGATGTCCAATGAGCCTTTAGACAAGGATTGTATTAACTTTACAACATATTTTCTCTTCAAAATCTTACGTGGAAAACTATTTACACGACGGGGAGTCTGGAGATCAACTTAAGAACGAGATGTAAGTGTCTACAATCAACATGGATTAAGTAGTAAAAATACAGATGACGTCATTTGTGTAATCTAACTTGCCTTTGGTCTGTGTTGAATTATCTGTTAATATCTCGTGCAGGATATAATTTCCAAACCTCTCGTTGTGTAAATCGTTTCCTACTTAAAATTTGGGAAGAAAGCATGTGTCGTTTTTTAGAATTGAAAGCTTGTCTAATGGCCCATTTGCAGAGAGGCACTGAAAGAGAGCACCGAACATATAGTATGCTCTGCTCACAGATATGTATAACATAATAAAATATGTACCTTGAATCAACTGTCGAGTGTCAAGCAAAATTAACAATCAGAACAAAGCAATTGATAGTTTGATCTCTTTTCGATTACAATAAAATGAAAGGATATTGTATACACACTTTTTATCAAATGAGTCCTTTCAGCAGTCTTTCTATGTACAATTATTCAATAAAACAAACGTAATAAAATACATTTATTGCTGAAAAAATTATTGAAAATAGTAATTTTACAAACAACGATTTTATGATCGACTTAGGTAAATGTATAAATATGAAACCTAAAAATTACCGTTGTTATTATTTAAATAATAATAGTCAATAAAGGAAGTAATAACTTACAACAAAACAGGGGCACAGCCAATTTTTTAATATATCATAATTTTCCTAACAATAAAATATTTAAGGAATAAAAAGTGGGAATAAATAAAAGGATGGATAGATATGTTTTGAGTGGGATGGAGAGGGAGAAAAGGGGTAAACAATCAATTATTTGGAAGGTGAGGAGGTCTGGAAGAAATTTTGCGAGAGGAGGAAATTGACTATATATTTTAGAGGATGATGGGATAAAAAAGTAAACCTTAGTTATTTGGGTGTTCGAAAATAACGCAGTACGAGGTAACCTAACGATCTGAACACAACAAGGAAAAGGAGTAGAATAATTGTATTTATCCATAGTGGTAAGCTTGGACCTTCTGCATTTAAGATATCCTCCACTGGAATGTGAGTTGAATTCTTGCAGACATTGAACTTCGACTGACTTGAGCACCTGAAAAACACAAATCCAAGAGATTCTAATTATCACTCCCATTACGAATTTGAACGTCCTAGAGCTTGAACTCGCTACTCAGTGTGGGCGGCTTTTAGGGCTTAATCCTGCCCCCTTTAAACCGGAAACGAGAGGAACCGAAAAAAAATCTTGAGCGAATTATGTATGGAACAGATGATTTTACAACTCTTTCTTGAGTTAACTTTGAGATAGATCACAAACTCATCTATGGAGAGCAAGCAAAAAGAGGAGTCCAAAATTGCTCCACGTTTTGCTCCAAAGACTTGTTTGACATCAAATGTTGGTATTTTTCCTCCGAAATGCTGAAAAGCCGACGGCTGATAAGATTTGAAACCTTGAATCAATTCTTAAGTTTTAGTGTATCAGTATGAATAGGTACCCCCTCCTTGTTTTATTTTTGCCAAAGAGATGTTCAATTTGTATCAGATTGTTTTCTTCGAAGAGAAGTGAGAGTGCCTTTGGCGCCAGTATCGTCTAATTATAATAATTCTTTTAATACATTTTAATATTAATATTTTTATTAGGTTTAAACTTTACTTACGAAATTTGGTCTCCGGAGCTGAACTCAACGATTTGCATGTTTTGGTACGCGTAGTGGACCATACTTAAATATTGGACCCACTTCAGCCATGGTGGGATATTCGTCGCTAAATATCCGCCAAATAACTGCGTGGCTAGTGTGTAGAGGGCACTAATTGTCATTGATACTTGCGAGTCCATGCAACAAGCTCCGACAAAAAATCCAACACTCTAAACAGAACGATAGAAACTCTGCTTAGTTCTACAATACAGATCACACACATTTATTTCTTACTATGTCCTTTCTATTACCCCTTTTTTCAAAGTCTCCTTGCTGAAATATTTTCAGAGCTAGAGTGTCTTGGATTCTGAACTAGTGATACAAACAGCAGCACGGAGGATTTAAGGAGCGCAAATCATGAGAAATCTGATATTGCATTAGGAAGGGGAAAGCAATGGTAAAACGTTTAAACAAGACACAAGATTCTAATACCACTATTCGAGCTCTTGAGAGCGCATGTTGCCTACCCTCCTAAATGAAGGAAAATTGAATGCAAAAATCTGTACCAAAAACAAAGGGCAATACTCCCAGCGTTTCCTTCTCTGTAAATAAGACTGTAAAACATTGAAATCACCATCGTTAGAATATGAAATTACACTTCAAATACGTTTTTGTTTTCTATCTCTAAATTTAAAATTCTCCACGTTCATATAGGATGGGCTTCATTAAAATTACGGAAGATGTAAAGTATCTTAGTGAATATTAATGTACAATCTGATTCATAGACTCCATTTAAAGTCGACAATCGAATTCCACGTTTCCTTTTGCTTCATGTCACCTGCACTTCTATCAGTTTATAGTTCAGGTAAATGAACTGAGAATGTTTGTAGTTAGTATTTCGATAAAATCAGAGCTTTTTTTAACATCATAGATATAACGGAACGCTCTTTCAACTCAAAATAACGCAAAAAATGATGGAAAATTACGCGAAGTTGGGTTCGGACCAAACATGCAACGATTTTTACCCAACGGTGGGCCGAGTTGCATACGCTAGATTTTGGGGGCGAAATCTGAGATCGAACTTATCGATTTGTCGAAAAAATGATTTGTCTTATCAGCTCAGCACATACGAAGAGTCCGATTTAAAGAATCGAATGTCCGATTTGACAATCCAAAGTTTAGCATGACAAGCATGGTTCGATCGATATCTAAAACCAAACTTTTAGTTCAAACGATCGAACTTTCCTTTTCGGTGTGTATATCTGTCACCATGGTCCTTGGTTTGCACATATATATCGCAGGCAAATAGTCGAATATTCTTACATCGACTGAATAAACTCTGATTATTTTGCTGACTGAGGAAAAAATAGTTATTTGATCATGTGGGAAAGAATTCCTTATAAAAACTTGCTTCATGCGATCATAAAGACATTCTGCTGGCCGTTGAATGCAAATTTATCTCAAAACATGCAGAATTTCATAAAATAAAAAGTTTTCACAATTTTGATGGTTGACGAAACATGAGGAGCATTTTTGAACGGGAAACGCAATGACAATTTGTACTTGGACGGATTTTTAGTTTCAAAATATTGAAAAGTTGGGAGGTTTATGTGAAAACATAGAAAACCTCGTAAACTCTAAAAATTTGGGTACCTGCCTAGGCGTTTGATAAAATGTCTGATTCGACTTTTTGCCTGCGACACGTAAACTGACCCTTCTAAAAAATGTACAGCTAAGTAAGAAGTACGGAAACAATATTAGATGGATGATAATTACCTGTGCTACGATAGTGTTGAGAAGTAAAAAACTAAGCAATGTGAGGAATGTGGAAACTTCGTGGCAGCCGAGCATCGGGTATGATATGAGGAGATAAACTGCCGGCAGAGTAACAGTCAATGGTAACTCACCAACCATTTTTGCTAAGTAATACGCAGAGAGGCGATAGGATCCAGATTGCCGCTCTTTGTTTATGACCTCCCGTTCAGAGGGAACTGTAATCAATCATCAATCGAATCGAATTATCATAAAATCTCCAGTCTGAAGATTAAATAAAACGTATAATTAGAATTAGACTAAAATTTGTGCATGCCACCTACTACACTGGACAAAAAAACACATTGGATCTAGAGTCCAGACTCTTAAAAACATCGACAAAAAAATACCCTTGATTCAATCGGATTTTAGCTTAAATCAAGAACCAAGCCTCTTAATTAGAGCGGATTTCCTTTTGATTTAAGCAAAAATCTGATTGAATCAAGAGCCCTTTTTCTTGTCAATGTTTTCAAGAGTCTGGACTCAAGATCCAATGTGTTTTTTTCCCCAGTGTAATATGTCCTGGAAGTGTTCAAAATAGGCCAGTTGCGCTGGTAACATAATTCGACGGTAAAACTACCAAACCACGTATCTCGTTTGCGGTGTTTAAAAATCTACGCTCACATTTTATTTTTTTGAAGTAGACCAAATCAATATCATTCCTTGAAATTTTCACAGAATTTTCTCCGCACGAAGAGGAAAAATCACAGAAATTTTCAAGAGTGGACGCTGAGTAGTTTTTCATTTAAAAAATAAAGTATGACAGGAAGTCTGCGACGTCGCAAACCGAGATACGTGGTTTGGTAGTTTCACCGTCGAATTGTGTTTTGATGCTTGATTCTTGTCGATTAGCGAAAATAATAAGATCCGTCCAAACAGCAACTTTCTACGTTGAATATTAACCGAGATATCGTCCTTTGAAACGTCGGGTTTTTGACGTCATCTACCCCGGTAGTGCATAACATGGTATGTATACCGCGTTGGATGACGTCATAAATCGAGTTGTTCAAGGCGAAATATCTCGGTTAATATTCAACGTAGAAAGTTGCTGTTTGGACAGATCTTATTATTATTAGTCGAGCTGCAAGAGGAAAGCACCGAAACCCGATTCTGTGACCAGCGCAACTGATCCATTGTTTCATGGGCAGTTTTGTTCTTTGGAGAAAAATTATCTACGGATTTTGCTGTTTATAGCAATAAATAAGCCATCTTATTCAGAAAAAAAATGTGATTGACGTAAGTCAAAAAAGAATTGCGGCGGGTTTCATACAAAGATTAGCAGGGCCGGATTTATTTACTTGCCGCCCATGGGCCGCCTATATTTTGCCGCCCCCTTCTCATTCGTTTTGAAACATCAATAAAAACCATCAAGTGAACGTGCCGGGGGGGGGGAGGCGTATAAGACGCGTTTACTCGTGTTGGTCACATTTTTTCGAAAGCCCTGTCAACACTACTAGCAAAAGTTAAGCTCCGTAAACCTATCTCTGTGTGGACAAGGCCCTCCATTTATAAGAAATGAACCAAAAAATTATGAAAGAACAAACATGAATGTGGTTTAATAATTTTAACTTCCGCTGCCGCGCCGCGCTGACCGCACTGTGTTTGGCGCAATACGTGGAGTATTCCTTCAGTCTTACATGCGCTATGCGTTTCGGGCCGACCGCTGGTGCAAGCACTGTGTTTGACGCAATGCGTGAAGTATTCATGCAGTCTTGTAGGCGCTATGCTTTCCATGCTGCCCGATGCTGACCGCAGCGACCGCACTGTCTTTGGCGCAATGCGTGAAGTATTCATGCAGTCTTGTAGGCGCTGTTATGTGTTACATGCCGACCGCCGCGCCGAGGGTTTCTCCTTTTCATCTCACGCTCCCGTCATCATTGCTCTCTGCGCCGCGCCGTTCCAGGCCAAATTTCGTGTTCGGTTTCTCTCTTAGTCTTAACTCGACTAATTAATGGTGCTGTCTATTGTATCACAGAAGGACGACAAAATTAGAGATATACTCTCAAGAAATGAGAGATTTTGTCACCTTTTCTCGTTCGTAATTTTTTTTTTTTTTTTTCTGAATCCGATTTGTCTTTATACCTACATTTAAAAAAATTGCAAAATTTGCCGCCCCCTAAATTTTCCGCCATGGACCGCGGCTCATGTAGCCACCCCCTTAATCCGGCCCTGAAGATCAGATTTTGAATCGTGTTATCTGTCGAATTATCGATTTTGATGCAATCTCTCTGCATAAAGTCGGTTTTACATTGCACTATGGCGCCCTGTGACACCCAAACGCCGTACATGTCTATCTTCCCATCGGGCAACCGACACCGCGACATCTCTTCATCAACGCCCTGCTCCATCTCTTCACAGGACGTCAATCTTTCTTACAATCCCTCTAATCATTCAAATTATTCTGATCTTTCCCCTTGATCTTTAACCAATAAATATACAGCCGAAAGTTGATTACTTTTTGTGTCTCCCTTCAAAACAAATTAGACAGCGCTATACAGCTTTTTGGCGAAGCTGACAAGATTACAGCTAATTATAATTGTTGAATATAAACTATGTTTCTTCCTCTTTTACTAGTAGCCGCTAGTGACCAGGATTCAAGGTGGCGTTCGGCAGATAGTCTTGTGTGAGGCAGGGTATGCAAAAGGTATTCAGAGCGTCACTAGATTTTCACACTTACATGAAGACAAAGCCCCGAAATGGGCGAATAGCATCCAATAAGTCATAGAGAAAAACATCCATCCCTGGATATCGTGGAGAAATTCCTCTGACCTAGGAAGTTGAAACCAAAGAAGTCCAGCCATCAGACCTAAACCTATAGTTTGCACCCAATTCAAGGTGGAAAGCATCCTTGGCCTTGCTTCTTGGAAATTCCGCCGGCTTAAGACCTGGGAACAAAATAAATCGAATTTATTTCACAAAAACACCGGTGTGAGGTAAAATCTACGTCTTAGACTAAAATTATAATTAAATCGTAGTATATGAAAGATGAAAAAAAAGGGGGGGGGGAGGTACAGATAAATCTGTCACGATGGTGGGATTGTAATCTGATGGGTGGTTTCGGTCATCATAATCTTAGTTTACATTTACAAATCCAAAACCGGAATCATAATATGTTTATCAATCAATTCTGAACGATTGCTCCAATTTTCGCAGGGTTTTTTGTTATACTTGGTTCTCCTTATCAACTTAAGGTGATTCGATGGACGCCATATTTTGTGTCAGAACGGCATGCGATATATCGCATCAATTGATTCCATTTTTTCAGCCACTCGTCATTTTTCTCTAATTTTGAGATCGCAATTCTGTTGTCAGGAGACTAAAGCACTCACTTACCAATTTTAACAAAGAAATTCAACGTAATAAAGGTGTGGTTTTTTTAGAGAGAAAACATCGCATTCGATACTGATATCGAAACTGCACTCGAATGCGATATTTTCTCTCTAAAAAAACCACGCCTTTATTACGTTGAATTTCTTTGTTAAAATTGGTAAGTGAGTGCTTTAGTCTCCTGACAACAGAATTGCGATCTCAAAATTGGAGAAAAATGACGAGTACCTGAAAAATGGAACCAATTGATGCGATTATATCGCATGCCGTTTTGACACAAAATATGGCGTCCATCGAATCACCTTAAGGATTATAACTCAGTATTTTCCACCGCCCTATCGTTCCGATCACAACGCCTTCAATAACCGCGATGGCAATATGAGCGGCCTAAAGGAGCACGAGTAGTTGCGCGCAGCTGTTTTTGTTACTTTTGCTTTGTCCAGGGAAGGAAGACACTTAAAATAAACTTCCATTTTCGCATTCCCCCGACCTCTACGTGTTGCTGTCTGACTAAAATTCTAATAAATCGCAAAGAAAGAAGTTCCTTTATCAAATGTATTGACTGAACGTTATGAACTTCTTACACGGATACATTTCTTCGTTTCTGAAACGAAAATAACGGCCTCATTATGTATGCGATAAAAGTCGTTCTCATGACCTGGCTTCAGGAAACAATTAGGTTTGCTGAGGCTTACCTTAAACTGCGTCCAGAAACATGTTGGCCATTGCCAGCCATAGTCATCTTCTGAACTAACTGACGACGATGCATGACTTTGATCATCCAACCAGAGAGTTTTGTTTTCTTCTTCTTTGACTGAAAAAATATAGATAACTAAATTTAAAAAATGTCATTTTCACATTATTTTCACATTAATTCCTACTCAGAAGAGTACTTTGTGTTTTGTCCTATTTCAGATTGATCACATCACAATGTGTTAGAGAAAGTTACTCCTACACTTTTTTCAAACCCTAGTTAAAGTCAGATAATTTTAGAGATATTCCACGGAAAATTTGACTCGGGAACATCTATTTAATTAACCCTTACCTGCTCAGTGGTCAGTTATACTGACCACCTTTTTAAATAATTATTCATGGCCGTTTTGGCGCGACATACCCTTACCAACCATGTAGTTATACTTGGTATATGGTCCAGAATATGAAAAAAAATATTGCCGGGCGATGTTATGTTGGCAATATTGTTTTATCATCTATTGTTTACCTCCGATTCGTTGGAGGTTTAGTGCCGCCGGTGTTATCTCCAGTTTTGCGGTTGTCAGTTGCTTGTGCGACGCAAATGGTTCTGATTTAGTAGTAAAATATTAAGTTAGACTATAATGCTGCGAGAATGTCATTTGGCAATTGAAAAATTCAGAAGTTTTGATTATTTAATTCATGCTTGAACATGGTGGTTAGTATAACTGACCACCGTGCAGGTGGCTATAGGAGCTGGAACTGGATTCTTGTTGCTTTATTTTTTATTATTATTTTATCAGTAATTTTTATGATTATGTTCATTACTTTTAATTATTGACCAAAATTATTATTTTAAAATTGCTAGTCTTATGTGGGAAAGGACCATTATCGTTGCATTTTGAAGGAATGAATTTATTTCATTGTGACTAGTCTTTGATTGCCTCCTTACTTATTCCAGTTACGTTCATATGTTCTTCACTTCAAACAGTTTTATATATTTCTGCTTTATTTATACTCTTTTATAATAAATTATACATTTTTCTAAGACTAGCTTCACTCAATTTCCAAAAACAGAGACTCTATCACTTACAAACATGTAAGAAAAAGTGAAAAACTTACAAAATCTACGGAGTCAACAATTATAATTCACTGGTAAAGTTAGTATGGAAGGTAAGGGGAGGTCTGCGAGGGAAGGGTTGGGGGCTTGGAGGGCAGAAATTGATTGTCTTGCGCGGATAGGTAGAGACAAGGATCATTTTTTACACAAAAATAAAAAAAAACACGAAAATTATATCCACATAGGTGAATAGGAAATTTGCGTATTCCTATCCTGTTCAGTGGTCAGTCATACTGACCACCCTTTTTTGTCAAAATTTCCGGGTAAAAAAAAGTCGAAAAATTTTTTTTTCACTAATTTTGAGTTATCTAGACCCAACAGGCCTTAGAAAACTCGAAATTTCAAAAAAACGTTCGAAACCCATAATGTGTGCAGGTAAGGGTTAATGAGGACCACATGTTAAAACTAAATGAAAAATACAATTATCTTCAATATACCTGCTATTGTTGTGTAAACGTGACCTTGGTTTTCATTAGTATGAGGAGGACTAATGGCTACGCACAGATCACTACTAGGAGGGGGTGGTGGGGATGTGAAATGATGACTCCAGTCTCGATGAAATTCTCCTCCAAGATGACCTGGAAAATTGCAAAGGTTTTTGTTTTCATATAAATTCCCAGTCATTTAAAAAGTCATTCCAATGATACGTTTCTCTCGGTTTATTCATACATACGAAATAGTTGCGTTTATGTAGCTCTCTGGCGATATGTTACACCTAGCCGCCACAGAACCCTGTCCTCCCATAGTCTTTCTGGGAGTTGGCACACTATTATTTAAACGTATTTATGCTAAAAGATACTAAATGCATATGGTTTGCATGTCACATAGTTTCATTTAGCATAAATGCGTCCATTTCTTGTAATTCTCTTTGTCGCCATTTTTTTACCGTATGTCCTCCTCGTCTTCACCCAGGAGAAACTCAGTTCATCCATGAGGACGAATATTTGGAAAGAATTTTATCCATTAATTACGTTCTCATGTTGGATAAAAACAGAAGAAAATTTGGTGGCCCGACCGAAAAAGGTTTCTTTTCTTTTAATGGTCTCTGCAAAGCGAGCTTACTTAATAAATATATTTGCCTTTCCCCTTTTTTAAGAAAGGAGAGAATTTTCCGAAAAGAAATTCAAATTTTTGGTACTGTAAAGTAGATTTAGCACGTTTCATAAAAATTTAGAGCAAACGGTATTTCACTCAGTTTTTCTTTATTTTTACACTTCATATAATTTTCTACGATTTTAAAAAGCCATCAAATGTAATAGATGATGTGCTCGATAATCAAAATTGAATTTTTAAAAGTAATTATGGTAGACTTTGGATTATTCAGCGTGTATAAAGTCATCTGGTTCTCCAGGAGAACTCAAAGCATCAAAAACTCAGGAGAACTTCTCCTGAGTTTTTGATGTTCTGGATAGAATAGTTGGTTTAAACATGATCCACCGTAGAATTTAGTATTTTCTTCGGCGCTGGTGCAATGCGGCGGTTGCAAAACACGTGAAATAAATGAGAATAGAAATTCCTCCAATGTTTACTTGTCCACTGATTAGTTGTTAATTACAAATATGTACCCACATTCGTGTTTGTGTTGGTGCGTTTGATTATCATCCGGCTTTTTCCGCATCCGGCTTGGCCCTGACACCAATCAAACCGGATAATCCAGAGTCTACCATAGAAAGGTTTCGCTTCAGTCGCATGTAAATGGCACTTACCGATAGAGTGTAAGCTATTTGTGTGGTAATTGCTAAGGTATTTATCACAGATAGAGTTAGAAAAATAGTTTGGACGCAGCTCAACAGGATAGTCAGAACTCAAACGTGCTTCTTGAGAGGCAGCTAAAATTTTTTCTTTGACTTCCTCACTTCCTTTAATCTGCTCCACTGCGAAGTGAACAAGACAAAAGCACAAGAAATTAAAATCGATCCGAGTAGATATTCTATGATTTACATGCTCTTTCTCATTATTGTATTCCATTCCAGTTGGTAGACTTTAAACAGTTTGACTAAAGTTATTTTGAGTGGACCAGCTCAATTTTTCTACTTGTGTCATTTCGTGTCTCGTAAATGATCATCTACCGTCTTCTTTCCTCTGACATAACTATTATTGAAGATCAGAATAGTGCGAGGTTAAAATAAAAGAATGAACATTGTTTCATAATTTGAAAACTAAGCAGTAACGTTGATAAACTGGGGCCAATTTTTTTTTAATTTTCGAATGAATATCAAAATTATAGTGCGATTAATATAGTATTGAAACAAATGTTTAAGAGGAAGAAAAATACAACTTGTAAGATGTACTAACTTATAAAATCCGCTGGGTTGTAGTGTGGCATTAGAGTTAATCCTACATTATTGAAAAAATCTACCACTTTGTGAGTCTCTCCGAAATAAGCAGTCTGAAACAGAAATAATAGTGATGCTGTAGTTGATACAAAGCTATAGTGACAGTGAGATCAGAGATACGTATGAAAAGATCACTAAAATTGATTTTTTCCTGACAAAAAGCGATGTTCGAGCAACTACTTTTTTTTTTCTTTTTTTTCCTTTTTTTTGTTATTTAAGAATCCTTTATTGTCAGATAAACATTACATGTAAGTGTGGTAGAGCAACTGGATTACATTTTGCAATAAGGAGCCATACTATCTCAGGTTCTCCTATAAAATCACATACCTGTATAGGGAAACCAATGGCGTGTATGTTGTTTCTAAAATTGGCCAGAAATAGTGGCTCCTTATTGCAAAATGTAATCCAACTATACTCTAATATCTTTCGCAAAAATCAGCTGGGAGTATATTTGGGATCGTGATACTTTTTTCTGTGTGTGTGCGCTTAGTTATTCCATCCCAGGTAAAACATTTTCGGAACGATTGTTCATAGTTTTGACCATTCTTGTTTCAAATTAGGAGAAACAAAGATCATTAAACCGCTGATCATTCTTTGGATAGACCGGTTCATGCAACGCGTTGCAAAAGACTTACCTGGCCATTACAGAGCAATAGGAGTTTATCGAACATGTGAAACATTTGTGAGGACGGTTGATGAGCGGTGACAACAATCGTTTTCCCTTCTTTTTCGGCATATCTCTTCAGTAGTGCCATCAAATTGAAAGCTGCATGCGAGTCAAGGCCTGACATGGGTTCCTGTAAATTATCAATCGTAGTGTCATTGGTTTTTAAATATAAAGTCAATACTTCAGAATTAGTAATCAACTGTACATATTCTCAAAACTCAAAACTCTAATTAAAATATTGCAGGTTAGAAAATTACATTCGTGTGCTGTTAATCTACCAGACAGACGACCTTTTGATATTACCACTTCTATTACTTTCTCTCTTTTCTTTAAACAGGAGTAATCGAGTTAGATTTTCTTCGATAACACAGAAAAAAAAGATATATTTTCGCCTTACGTCTGATACATTTTGAATATACTTTAGCACTGCATAATGTAGTGGGTTGCTAAATTAGTTATACTATTTAAAAAAGTCTACTTACGTCGAGTAACATTAAGGCGGGATTTGTCAGAAGTTCACATGCAATATTCGCCCTCTTCTTCTCACCTCCAGATAGACCACGTTTTATGTAATCTCCTATGACTAGAGACAAAAGAAGAAGAAAATCAATACATAGGAAAAATAAGAGCAAACAATTGTAAATAATCGGAGAGAACTGTCATGAATTTTTCAATTATTTATGTACCTATTTTTTAAAGTTTTTGAATTTATATCAGTTGATCATCCCTCGTACAGTAAAGGTAAGATTTTTTCAGGGGAAAAAGGATGGAGTTATTGTTACGTTGGTCGTGGTGATAAGAGATAGCAAGATATCCTGAGGGTTGAAAAAAAAAATCTACTACTTACTGAACCGATAAATTGCAGCTCAAGAATACAAATTTTAGTGAAGACACTTTTTAAAGCTCATCCCTGCTTAAAATTAAATTAAATGAGTGACAAAAGTGAAGTAACTATTGTGTAATCATGATCATACTTACTGGTATCTTGGCAATTTCTTAAATCCAAAACGTCAATAATATGATCGACGTACTGCATTTTTTGAACGTAGGAAAACGAGTCGGGTAACCTTAATAGTGCTGTGTACTGAAATAAAGAACCAGGAAAAATCCGAAGAATCGAATTAATATTATGTACAACAATGCGTTTTAAGACAAAGAAATGAATCGGTAAGCAAAAGTAAACGTAAAGTTCTGTTGAAACTACGACTTTGAATGGTGGACCGCATTTAGAGAGCAATATAGAAAGCTTAATAGTCCAACGAACGTGTTGGAAAAAGCGCCAATGGAATAAAAAGTTTATACTTACAAAGTAATTTTATTTTTACTTCACTAGTTATCTAAGATTTTTTAGGGTCGAGAAAACAAACCTCTTTTTGAATGCGAGAAAGAAAATTAAAAGAAATTTTTACCCACCGTTTTAGCTTAAAAAACTCACCTGAATCATTTCATTTGCGTTTATTTATTTATTTGCTTGTTTGTTTGTTTTAAGGTAAAATCAACCCCTCGCAATCAAAAGTTGTTGATAAGTTGACGTACATATGTTATAAAAAGATCTATGTAAGAATTAATTGATACAAAAGGCACTATGTGCATACGATTTTAGCATATTTAGTTTGCTTTGATTTTATTTACTTTTACATAGTTCTTTTTAGCATAAAGATAGTGGCAATCGTTGTAATTTTGGTAATAAATCATAAAGACTTTTCCTACGGCTCTCCCATTCCCTTCCAACATGTTCAATGATAGTTTAATAAGTGAATAGAAACATTAGAAAAAGTCACAATGAGGAAAGAAACAGACCTCTAAAGTTTGGCGGAGGGTGAGGTCTGGAAAAAATATATCTTGCTGTAACACATAGCATATTCTTCGCTTCCATCTTTTATTCAGCCGTTCTCGATTCAGTCGAATGCATCCTGAGTCTAGTTTTATGCGTCCCGCGAGACAGTTGAGAAGCGTCGTCTTTCCACATCCTGTAAAAATATGCGAAAAATATACTCATAAATCATCTTACAGTATGATGAGAAAGTAAACAGTAACAACTTTTAACTTGAACTTTTTTAATCTAACTCGAGTTCTGTACTGCTCTTGAACTTTTGCTCGTTATTGAATGACCATAGTCGATGGATATCATTGCTGGGAAAGTCTTATCGATCCATTCGTCGATATCAATCTATCGAAGTTATTCGATAATGATATATTTATAGACCCACCCCTATCAAGGAGAAAATGGAATTTTACCGTACGTCGTTTCCTTATCAATTCTTATTCCACACGTTTGAGGGAACCTACGTCAAGCAAAAGTCGTAGCCATAATCGAAAGATAAACTTGTGGAAAATGAACATATACTCGAGACCTGTCCATAAGACGCCATGGAATCGAGCAATGTTTGAATTATGTTTATTCTGTGAGCCTTTTTTTCACACTGAGCTGTTTCTTAGGAAAGTGTATATTTTGAGCATCACGAAATAGAAAAACATAATTGGAATGTAAATGACCTCCTCTTAAAAGGAAATGCTTCTACTTGAGAAAAAGTTTGCCTGAAATACGGCCATACTTTAGTTCACCGAATCTATGCAAGGGAGGCTTAATAACCCTAAGCACGAACAGAGAATATTTCACGCTTTCTTTACAAACTCGTCGGAATCTCTTTGAGGCACCAAGAGCCAAAAGCACGCTGATTTTGTGTAGTTTAGAACCATACTAGCTCACAGTCTAAGTTTGAGACGCTCTCTACAATTTTACACCAATATAATACTTTATTGTCGCTGATTTTTTTTCTCATCGTGCCTACATGGGAAAAAGAAAAGTAAAAGAAATTAAGGCATGTACTAACCTGATGGACCCATAACGGCGAGAAGTTCGCCAGGCTTGACCATTCCACTGACATCTCGAAGAATTTGTCTTTTTTCAACTGATACTGAAATATTGGTAAAAACTAGCTCCAAAGGGCGGTGTGGCAAGTGCTGTTGTTCAACTGACAGACATGGATAAAGGGCGCTTTCAACTCTGAAACAAAGCAAACACATTTTTTTATTAAAATAAAAATAATAATGTTATTCAAAGCATATTTTACATGAATGTATAGTTGCTTTCACGACGAAAACTTCATAACGGATTACTGTCGAAAGTTGGCGATCTAGTCGAATTAAGAGAGGAATCAAACACGCAATTTGGCTTTGAACGACGCGACGCAGAGAGCGATGATGACAAAGAACTAGAGATGAAAATGAGAAGCCCTTGGCGCAGCGGTCGGCATGTAACACATATTAGCGCCTACATAACTGCATGAATACTTCAAGCATTGCGTCAAACTAAGCGGTCAGCAGCGCAGCGGTCGGCGTGAAACGCATAGCGCCTACAAGACTGCATGAATACTTCACGCATTACGCCGAACATAGTGCGGTCAGCACGACACGGCGCGGCGGCGGCGGAAGTTGAGATTATTAAATCACATTTATGTTTGTTCTTTCTTTTTTTTCTCGTTTACTTCTTATGAGTGGTAGGCCTGGTTCACACAGAGATAGGTTTACGGAACTTACTTTCGCGCAAAGTTCCGTGAACTTTTAGTAGTAGTGTTGACAGGGCTTTCGCAAAAAATGTGTCCAACTGGAGTAAACACGTCTTATGCACTCCTCCTCCTGTTCGTTTTTATTGATGTTTCAAAACGAGTGAGAAGGGGGCGGCAAATAGGTAAATCCGGCCTGGTAAAGAATCGAGTATGAAGGTGCTCGTTGCAAACACCCTGTTTATCGATCCTCCTGTGGGTTTAAATAGCAGATCAATCGATGAATCGCAAAGCAAGCCACGCTACTGACTCAGACGTTGAACTGCAGAATGCGTGGGGGGGGGGGGCACTCTTTTCCCCGATCCGAGTGGTCATGAACATGCATTTTTTTAAGTCAAGTTTTGTTCACTCCTTAAACCGCTTAAAAAATTCGAATTTTCATTTTTTTTTTTTCGTTGACAAGGATAGGTACATTCTCTACCCACAAGGGTAGCTAGGAAGTATCCCAAGAGCTCGCCCGAAAATTTCAACCGGAAAGATCTAAAAATGCCACCACTTTTTTCGATGTCTTTTTTATTGATGATTGAAGATCTGTCGATCTGGCACACTGGAAAAAAAATGCATCGGATCTAGAGTCCAGACTCTTAAAAAAATCGACAAGAAAAAGTACTCTTGATTCAATCAGAATCTAGCTTAAATCAAGAACCAAGCCTCTTAATTTAAGCGGATTTCGTTTTGATTCAAGCAAAAATCCGATTGAATCAAGAGTACTTTTTCTTGTCAATGTTTTCAAGAGTCTGGACTCTAGATCCAATGTGTATTTTTTCCAGTGCAGGTCATATCCGTAACGTTCAATGGTCATATGAATTAAATTTCAAAAAAATTACCAAAATTTAACTGGAGAGATCTATGCATGAAATTTTACCATGTGTTTGACCAGCTCTTAAAACTTTCGAGTGTTTCTGTCCCCCTCGATTTCATTCGAGGAGGATGGTCTTGTGAAATAATTCGAGGAATTCCACAATAACGCAGGCAACCGAGTGGAGCAGGCGTGGCGTCGACTGGTCTAGATGAGCCTCCGTCCTGGGCTCGGTATTTAATTATCGGTTACTCGGGCGGATTATTCGAGAGCGAGCTTTTCGAGACGGGCCAACCGTCCGACCGGGAG